AAAATTTCTAGTAATAACTTTACCAGATATATTAGATAACGGTAATCTGCCAAATATTATATAAGCCGGCGGCAGTAATCGAGTTTTTAGTTAATTGTGACAACAAAAAGTGCGAAAATGATGATGATGGAATGTATTGTCAATCCTGTACATCAAAAGTTCCAGCCGTACGCAGTGGTACGTTTTTAGCATTATTTAGCCTTTTTTTTCATCCCCTTCCATTACCGCATTTAACACACCAACAGCATGGCCATGTAAAACAATCCAACTTTCGCTGTTCCGGTTGTTGCACATCTAAAATAAAATTTACATTAATACAATACTCATTAAAAGAGATTTAGTGTTAGTCTTTCGGAAGTCAATCGCTCGAATGTTGTGCGTTGCAGTAAACTGTTTTTGACGACACTTTATATTGTGGTGAAGTGGCATACTGTATACTGACAAAATGATCTCACACAAACGGAAGAGAGATTACAAAAAAGATACCATTTATTTTAGAGATTTGTATACGTTGACGTTTGACAGTGGTGAAACATTGGAATCTTTGGGGGAGATTGTAAGTTAACATTTCAATTTTTTTAAGTACCTACTAGGTGATCCAGTTTGGCTTAGATCTCTATTACTTTAACATGTGTAGATACACTCGTACATCATAGCAAAGACTAGGAGGATAGTCTTTGATCATAGTCATCCTATAAGTACAACATCATTTGCAAACGGAAGTAAGCTGGCTTATGAACCGTATACGTCAGTAGCGTAATTTTTATATTTCATTTTCCATAATTACCTACTTTTTATGTTGATGCTCGCTTGAAATAACGGATAGTTACTTGAACCGCATCAATCATCAATAAGTACAAGTTTTATTGGGGGCACATTTATAGTGTTTGCACTAATAGTTTTAGCACAAAGTTCTACAATGTGATTTTATAGCTAATAATATTTTACAGTTGAAAGGTCTTTACCAAGACGATTTATCGACCACTAAAACTTACCGCAAGGTTGGACTCCTTACACCCTAATGCATAAGATGAGAATGTTTCATATGAGCCGCCAGCTTTTAATTTATTTTACTGCTTGGGATATCGCTATCCCTATCGTTACCTATTGCCATATCCATTTCATTTTTTTAGACAGTTTTAATTTACTTTTATATTTAATCTCTAATTTAGGAAACGAAAGTTCGATTTTTAATACTGAACTATTTATTTACTAATTTTTGGTTTCTTTTTACTAAACCACCTGGTTTTTTTAATTTCAGGGATTAAATTTTAATCCTTGTACCATAATCAAATATTACGTTGTAACAATTACTGACGCATTATTTTTTAATACTTTTTAGGGTCAATATTAATAATGAATACTTAAAAAAATAATGCATGTATCCATACAGGATTGCGCTTCTTTTACTACCCTCAGACTGCAGTAGATCACTCGACTTGGTCTCGTGGTTTAAAAATAAATTGGCAGATAATATAGGTAATATTCTTCGCAAAAATACCATGATGGTCTTACGAAACTGAGGTTGACAAATCGCTAAAATTAACTTATTTTATCTGTGAAGGACTTTTGTTTTACAATTTATTATGACTGATCTGTATTTGGATAAACAATTAAAATTGTATTATTATCGTAATCGTACACTTTGGCGCACGCCAGCAATTGTCACTCTCCTCAAGTGTGACGGTGTAGTAATTCGTTTTTTTTTCACGTCAAGAGTTTTGTTTATAGAAAGTAGATTATTAAACAATAAATCCTTCAATTATTATTCGTTATCAATAGAAGGATGTAAAGATAATAACGTGATGTTTTCAAAATATTTGCAAATCATGGTGATGAAGTGTACCTACCTTTTCCGCCGTAATGTACGATAACTACTCACTCAAAACAATGGCGAAACGGGAAATTCGATGGACGTGCTTGTTTAAAATTTCTAATCCATTTTCATTTACTTTTTTGTTTATTACTTAGTACCGTTGTGTAATAAAATCTGTAACAGAGGTTCTCCTCTTTAACTTAAACGTGTTTATCACAGTACCTACCAAACAATAATGCTACATATCATTTGCGGGTAGTAATTTTAAAGATTAACCTACCGCCTACCACTACAAAATACCCTCGCTTATAGCGATTATAGAACATTCTACGCCCATGCATATAAATCCTCTTCATACAGTTTCTTGTACGCCCTTTGATGGCTGGTCAACATGCGGTCATCCTATCGATCTTCGAATCGTGAAGTAACACCCTAGTCCCCAGCCCCAGCATAGAATGTTGTAAGGTCCAACCAATCATCTTAGGGTGAGTGATGGTTAAATTTTCGATCCCAATTTCTGTCAAGACCTTACTGTAGGGTTACTTTAGAACCAAAGTTTAGTCTCCTCAATTTTCATGAAACAGAAATTTTGGTCTTGGGTCGCTTATGATTCTCTCTAGTCGTCATTATGCGGGCTTTCATTAATTTCAAAATAAGAAAACAACCTCGACGCTACGATTTAGGTCACTTAACGATGACTAATTCATTTTTGAATTTTTAAAACGCATCTATTTTGCGTTGGTCGGGAAATAAACATTTTCCAATTGAGGCATATTTTAGTAAACATTTAGTATTTTTTAATTGCGGACAGAATAGAATAATTTATTGGTTCTAGTGTTTAACACTATTTGGCTTAGGTATCAGTCAGAAGATAATTGCTACCGTTGAGTGCAAAATTAGGGTCTTTATTCCATGTCACTCCCTACTACTATCCAAATCCAAGATGTTACGAAATTCGGGCCCACGGACAATGGGAATTAATTCTGAGACAAAACTGCAGAATAGAAAACTCTATTACTCGTTTGCGAACAGACAAATATTTTTCGAGATATGAGGTTGCAGAAAAAGATTTTCTAAAATCTAGATGATGTCGCAGGGTCCAATTTTGCTTTAAATGCGCGACAACATCTAAACGCGACTTTTCCTGCCCTGGGGAATTTTTTGTTACTCAGCTCGTATTGATAAACCAGACTTTTCATCCGGCTCATATTCAATAGCACTGATTCTTGAACTCGTAGAAATCGATTGGCGAAGATTTGACATCGCTGTGTCTTTTCGTTTTGAGTTAGACGAGGAACAGACGCACAGGAAGACAAAACCATCACATAAGAGCAATTTTTATTCTTTGGAAATACCTAATTACATTGTTTTACCCTACTCTACATTCAACATTGTAATCAATAACATTATGGTTGGTAATTTGTTATAGTATTTTGAGTAGAAAAATTATGCAGAAACAGTTTAATGTTACAATTTGCCCTCGAATTTGCCTTACGCACTGTAATTTTTATCACCCGCACGTTAGTAAGGGAGGTATTGCATTGGTGTAAAAAATGACCCCCCACTTTTTTACGGAAATACACGTTTGGAAGCACCAGGATTCCGCATCCAACAAAATTTTGATGCTGTCGGTATGCCTGTACTGTTATTGTAACCTAATTTGGTACTTACACATATTCTTAGTCCTTAGATATAAAAGGAAGAGCTGAAAAGCTTTCGGGGAAAATCGCGCATGCGCAAGTGTGTTAAACTCTCATTAACAGCTAAACGGCTGAACCGATTGGAACCAAATTTGGTACACATATTGTTAGACCTAAAAGAACGTAGAACGCACATGCGCCGGTGTGCGGGTGGTATCTGTGCACTATAAATCACAAATAGTACATCCTTAGACTGGGGCCCTTAAGGTGCGGCGCCTGGGCTGTAGCCCCCAAAGCCCCCCCCCCCTTAATCCTGGGCTGCCCTGAAGGTACTGGCCGGGTCACCAACCTTTACTATTCACTCAATTTGAGGTGAATTTTTATCTACTTATTTTAAAAATGTGTTTGATAACTCCTCTGAGAGTTCAAAAAATGAAGAATATTAAATAATTGGTTCTACCTACATCAGTTATTAGACTTTTTGGGTGTACAAATATGTATCTACCACCTAAATTTCAATCTTGTGTACTACCTCCGCCACTACACTTGGCCAGTACACGCAAAATAAAATGTTTTTAAAAAATTATGTTTAACGCATGTAATTTGGAATAAGCCAAATATTTTGGTGATTCGCACGTCTTTTGGTAAACAATTATTATGTCTTGCATGTAATTTGATTATGATAAGGTAGGTGCAAGGACGTTAGGTAGTCGTAAACAATGATTATTTATATTTCTACACAATTACTTCTAACACAAAATTGAATAATAAATAAGGAATTGGGGGATAATTTTTTTCAAATGTGGACCGTTATGTTCATTCATGTTCTCGGAACATGGCCAAACTGCTGCTGCCCAAATTTTGACTTTATTGGAGTGTCATTTTCCATAACCTTCATCGCTTTTCTGTGTAAAATTAAATTTTCGTTACGTCATTTTATTTATCTACTTTTAATTTATGGTGGGAAAAATCAAGGGTCAATGTTAAGGATTATTTATAAATTTGGCAACGTGTTACCAACCAACAGACTGACATTGACCAACCAGATTGCGTTTATAAAAAAAAAGTTGTAACAGAAAGGTTATGATTGTTAATTTCAATTTTTAAAAAAGCTTAAACTTAATTTTGATTTTTGTACGTTAGATTTTTTAGTTTTAAAGAATGTTTGAAAACTTGTTGACCTCCTTAAAAAATCGCGCAAACACTATCAATGACAACATTAAAACAAAATCAAGAAAATTGTCAAGCAGTCTTGATTTTTTTACGAAACGAATTTACAACAAACCAAAACCAACACCTTACTACACTGTGACACCAAAAAATGAAGACTATAACGAATACCTATCACCTCGTGCCTATTCTTTAATCAGTAACGACCCCCAGTCACCATACGAAAGTGTTAATATGGAATGGTTGCCTTATCTTCCTTCGAAAATGGACGAGCAAAATATTATTGACCGATTTCTTAGTGTTATTACTATCGATGAAGTTAGTGCGTTAACACTTAGCGATGCGAAATAGTAATTGCCACTTTTCTCTTGCAGAGACGGACTGATCGTGAAGAAATTCGAAGACGACTAGCGATGGGTTCCGAAGACGACTATTATAACGACCGACCTGGACGAAAACCCAGTTTACAAGCTCGACTTCAAAGCGGTAAGGGTAAATGTTTTTTCAATCTACGCCAAACACGAATCTAATTTGTTGCTCGTTTAGGTATGAATCTACAAATTTGTTTTATGAACGAGACCGCCTCCGACACGGATAGTCCCAGTTCCGATTCAGAATGTCCGATGACGAACCCGAAGGAGCAGAGAATGTCGCCGAAAATTATTAAAACTGCACCCGTGCACCCGGAACTAGTACTTGAACCGAGTCTGCCTATTAGACCCGCCACGCTCGCAATTGGACAACCCTTATTACAGCCAGTTACCGAGCACATGACTGAAACTGATTTTTTTACGAGACAAGCGAGATTACAGACTGAAGCCCGAATGGCACTTGCACAGGCTAAGGAAATGGCGCGTATGCAAATGGAGGTAAGGCATTTGATTGGATGTAGATTAGAAATTGTGATAATGTCGTTTGCATTGGGTTGCATTTTAATCTACTATCTCGAAGGTGGCAAACAGGTGTAGCTATTTAATGTACAGGGTGTGTCATATATCGTGTAATCCAATATTGATGGTTCGAATTTTAAAACATAGGCTGTGCAAATGTCTGACATTTGACTAGAAAATCCAACATTTTATGCCGTGGTATTTTGTTCATTTTTTTTTAATGGGAACTGTAATGATGTGACCAGTTTTTTCTTTTGTTTTTTAGATGTTTGAGTGACTGTTAGACCCTTTACACTTCTGACATTACTACTACCTCTGTTGTAGACACTGGCATCATTATAGTACGCTCCCACAAAAACCACCATTATTGCTACGTTTCTTGACTGGAGCCATTAAGTTGGTTTTACGTTAGTATATGGATAATCTTTTTCTCAAATTCTAAAATAATCCTGAAGGAGGTGTGAAAGTGAAGGAGACATTAAGAAGATGCGAGAGAAGATGTCATATATATGCATGAATAAGGCATAATGTAAGTTTGAAGTATGCCTTCCGAGGGAGCAAGGGGTTAATAAGATGCGGAGGAGGGCGAGACCCTGAGTACATCTGTCTCAAAGACAGTAAATAATAAATATTAACTATTTTATTATATTATTCTACACACATAGAAAGTTTCTTTGATATTTTCCTTTTTATGAAGAGGCATGCAATTTTTTTGGTCAGTATACATTTTTGGACTCGGGATAATATTCAGCATATTATACTCCGACCTATGGGACCTAACAACCAATGGCACCCAGCTGATTATCTTAGACCAACACATGAACCCAGTAAAATTTAAATAAAAACTGTCTAGTAATCAAAACTAGACACTTCCACAATCTACGAAACCGGTTTTTGGGATAATAATAATAATAATAATAATAACAGTTTATTGCCATGAATAAAATTCATTTACGTTGGCATTGTCATGGCAAAATTGCCTAACAGTTTTTGCAAAGATTTCTATTTTTTCCACACACCTTTAGGGGCCGTCACGTGAAGTTTTTAGCAACTTTTTAATCCACCTCCCTCCCATTTGGTACGTGGTGAGGTTTAAGAATTCCCTACACCTCCTCTGTCCCTTATGATGTTTCATAATGTTTTCGAACCCCGCCCCTCCCCCTTCGAGCGTCACGTGATTAATGGACGACCCCTTAGGGTGCGCCTGGGAATGTGCCTTATTGGGATAGAAATTTGGTGCTGAGGAATTAAAAGACAAATGCAAATTTTGCGACTTTTAAACGAAACTTCCAAACGAAACATTTTGGACCTTTGTCCTATTACAATTAGAAAAGTAATGCAAATTTTGAAGCTGTTGGGGAAATGCTATTTTGGGGACGTAGCTTCCAAGCCCTTGTTTATTTGAAAAAATATAGTTTCTATTTTCTCTATCACTCAATTTTCATGACGCGCCTATAGCAAAATACTCGAAATGAGTGCTTAATGTTTAAAAACCACAAATATATCTCGAAATATATAGTGTTGATTGAAGCAGAAATTAAAAGAGAAATTCAAATTTGAATCTTTTAGACGGATTCATCTTATTTGCTGCTTATGAAATTCTGGGTGTGAGTGATCCAGGCTGAGTAGGGGAGGGATTTCTTTGGTGGGTCTCCTCTTGGGATGTTGTCTTGTTGTTGAGGTATTCAGTCCATGGCCATTTCATGGGTTTGCTTATAGAACTTCCCGACGAAGTAGAAAAGCATTCTATGAGAATCCCACTCAATCAGTTCTACAAATAATAGGGTTGATTTTACTCAAGCGCATATCCGAGTGGTTTATTAGGAGAGTCAACTGTCATAAGTGCTAACTTACTGTCATGTATATTCTTTTCACTGTTATTAAAGGGGCTTGTGAATATTAAATCGTTCTACACCGAAACGACTGCAGATTCCTAGCAGTTAGTAAGCACAGCCGACATGTTCAGCGGGAGGACCGACAGTTTAATTACAAATAAAAAACTTCTCCCCATTTATCCCGCTTAGTGTGAGAGTTTCATGGGTAACAAGCGCTTACAGAGAGTAACTGCGTTCACTGGGCATACGCATTTTATGTAGGTTTTGTTGTTTTGTGTAAGTTTGTTTTTTAAAAAATTTGAGAAGACAATCATAAATAACCTAATGTCCAGCTCCGCCGAATTGGTACGCGTTTTTGTGGAAAATAGTATATTGTTTACCAAGCACGAGAAGTGAGTTTTCGCTGACAAGTCTGAAGTGTTACTAAGTGTAAATTCCGATGTGCAAGCGGATCTCACTCGTCCGTGGTAAACACTAAATTTTTTATTAGTTTACTGGAATTTCTTGTATATAAACGGCTAGTCAACAGAGGTAGGTATGGAAATCAGAAGAGGCAGATAAGTGGAAAGGAGGCAGAGAAATAAAATTTCTCTGCCTCTTTTCCGCTTCTCTGCCCCTAGCAACGAAACGATACTTCGCTGTTTGAATAGTCCACCCGTGTGGTGCATTTCAGTTAAAACTAAACTTTGGTGCTAAGGGTCGCTGGTTCGAATCCGGGTTCGGGCATAGATATTTGTCAATGTTTAGTGGGTTGGGTTGGTAGAGCACCCTTGGCTGAAACCCCGCCCACCCAAAAATAAAAGCAAAATAAAATAAAAAATAAATAATACGATCAGCATTACTGTTTGATGTACATATAAAAAAAATTTTTCTTGTTTTTTGGAAATTTTATGGTATTTAGTCTCTTCTCATATTCTTCAATGATTTTTTGAAGGGACTACTTCTTATCGCTTGGTGTGCTATATATTTTGGAGAGGAGTAAAATAACCTCATGCCGTAAACCACAGAATATAGAGTATGATACTGTGGTCATCAAACGTAACGCTCGACAGCTCAAGATGAGCTCGACCCGCTCGATATTATTATTATTATTTTATTAAAACGTTGTGTCTACTACAAATAAAACCAACGAGGGGTTGAACCTAACCTAAAATTTTTTTTCCTATACTATACAGAACGTTACTATTTACGTGTTTACAAATCCAACACTCTGCCCCACTTTAACTCTCCGCCCCGATTAACACTGCAAAGCACTTCGCCAATGCACCACTGATCTTTAAAACTGTCCATTTTATTCATGCCTTTATGCCACGAGAAAGTTATTAAGATTTTGGTTTTAATGCCCTTTAGGTAGCCATCCCGAAGGGACGTTGGATGCGTGTCGTTTTTCATGGCGGTGATTAATTGAACATATATATAAAACTGCAGAATTAGTCAGAAAATTGATTAAAATATCACTGCGGTTGTTCTCTTTTACTCCACATTAGTCGGGTTAACACCAGTATAAGTGAAGATAAAGATAGTAATCTTACGTCTCAGTGGCCTGCCTATCGATCGCGATGTTGCGCGTTTTTTTTTTCTATAATGCGGTAAAAAGAAGGGAGCATGTGAGAGAGAAATAAGTAGTCTCTTCTGTTGGCACTCGCCCAAGTGTCACTTTCCATTTTTTTTTCATTTGCGACACTACCCCAAAATATCAAAACATTAAACAAATAAAGAAGTAGTTTGCCCCTTCTCTTTCTACGTCCTGCTTTTTGTAACGGTTGGCACTGGACGGTATTTATTAACGCCATTTTCTGCCAGTAAATGTAAATTTGACAATTGAGGATGGCGCGAATTTTTAATTTGGGTGCCATTTTGTTCTTGTAGCGAAAGATCCTGTATATATCTGAAATTTGCTGTAGTTGAGAGTTGTTTTTTTTTTATTATTTTTTGTGTAAATGCCCAATTTTCTTTACAGATTGAAAGACAACGGCAAATAAAAAGTCCAATAACCGAAATGGTAAGGCACAGTTTAGAAAAGGTCGGAATACCGTTCCCGGAAGAAAGGCGGCGTCTCTCCCGTCAAATCCTAACCGAAATGAACGTCGCGCAACTGCAAGTCATCGTCAATGATCTTCACACACAAATCGAAACCCTCAACGAGGTTCTAGTCAAATTTTTAATGGAAAGAGACGATCTGCACATGGAGCAAGATTCGATGTTGGTCGACATTGAAGATCTAACCCGCTATCTGTAAGTATATCGAATGTGCGCGTAAAGTTTACTAATTAGTTTCACATGCGCAGAGGAGCCAAAGAACAGAGACTAAAAGAGAAAAGCATTATTCAAAACAATAATATAACTCCTTTTTCGACATCACCGCCTAGATCACCTTTAGCAGCGCTTAATAGTAGCGTCAAACCCCACTTACATAGGATAGCCAATTTTGTAAAAAAGTAATTTATTTGTAGCTTTATTTAGTTTTCTTCTTTTGTATATATTCTATGAATATTATTTGTAAGGGCTTTTTTTTATAGAATGGAAATTTGTCGATATGTTTTTGCTTAACGTAATGAGTAATGGCACTTTTGTTACCTATCAATATTAATGTAGAATATTTGTGGATTATAATTTTTCATGACATATCAAAAATATGTAGAAGTAATATTTAGTATTAGTCATTTTATCTTCTAGCTTACGTTTTTAGGGATAGATTTTCTTTAATCTGTGCCATAAACTGTTTCGTTTTTGACTTTAAATTTGGAATGAAATTAATTTTCAGAGACATCCCTAAGTATGTAAGTATATTAGGTTTCTTCCATTTGGGTACAATGTTATTTGCACTAGTATTTTAAGTGCCATAGAATTCATATGAGAATTATGTAAATGAAAATTCGCAAGGACAATAATTACACTTCATCAGCAGACTAATCCATCACGTGTAGTTTTACTTGGACTTTGTCTTGTTTTTGCATATGGAAATACTCATCGGTCATGATTGAATTTCTGTACATAATACTCGTATGAAGTGATAGACCAATTTAGTTTTACTTTAAACCACAATTCCATAATCTTCGGCAGTCATTCAACTGGTATTGTAATATATTGTAAAAAAACCGCAATATACGGTAGATATCATGGATATATAGGACGTGATCTAGGCTTGTAAAATATGATATATTTTGCAACGTTTGTCTTATTTTGTCATGCCTCTAATAAACTATTTCTTAATGGCAATCTTATATAAATGTAACGTAAATGTGCCATAAAACTCGTCTTTGTCCACGCGCACCTACACTCATCTACCTACAATATTCCATTAAGACTGCAAAAATGTATCCAAAGATCTTAAAATAAAATTTGTTGTATTCGCCATTGTAATTTTAAGAGAGTTTTAAAATCTTTACTAAAGTGTAAAACGTTGTAAAAACTATCGCTTTGAAGAATAAAAATATTGAAATCGTCACATTTTGTTTTTTTTTAAGATGCGTTTTCAATGCGTTATGTTAACACTTAAAACTTCCTGCTTTCCTAAATGAGGATGAAAGTACACTAAAATAAATGTGCTCAGAGAAAAAAACAGGAAAGAATAACAAGCTGTCCAAGGCGGACAATATTTTCGAAAATGACCGGCAGCGTCACAATTCCAGCATTTTGTAGTCACATTTTTCTGTATGTTTTAACCAAGAAAATATAGGGCAATTCTAAAATTAACAATTTTTTTGATTTTCGCACTAACAATTCAAACATCCTATAAATGTCCAAGATATAGGACACCCTGTACAATGTCTGAACCAAATGAATGCAGTAACAAACTGAGACCGTTATTAGGGCAAAAAATAAATGAAGCTGTTGATTTATAATTAATTAGTAATTACTAAAACAAATTATATTAATTACATTGGTTAACATAACAGGGGGTAAGTAAAAAAACACTATACTGAAAGAAAATAAGGTATGGTAGACTATACATGACTTCAAATCTGATGCAGTGGCAGTGACCTTGGAAAGTAGTTCAAGGTTTAGCTCGAGGGTAATAGCTTTCAAGGTCATCGAACGTCAATGATCTCATTTGTGTTGTCTAATTTCACTTTCCCAAAGGTTGACAATCCCATTTTTTGCAGTGTCAAATTTTATTCACAGGATCATTAAAGATCAATGACCTCATATTTTGGGGTGTCTTATTTTGTATGCAAGGTTATCAAAGTTGAATGACCTACAATTTTGCTGTGTAATATTCCATTTGTAAGGTCATCAGAGATCAATAACCCCATTTTTTGTAATATCATTTTCATGTTCACGGTTACCTCCATTTTTTGCGTTGCAATATTTTCTATTTTCAAGGTCAGCAGAGGTCAATTACTCTATTTTGGCAGTCTCATATTTCATGTTGAAGCCCATTGTTTAGTCAAAACATCTAAAAAAACTGCAATTCTTCCACCATATATCAATCTCTGCTCGTTTCGAGAAACCATGCTAAACAATTTATTTATTATCCCTGTCTTGTTCTGAGCCCTCAACAGGCTTGCGCCCAATTACAGAGTGACCCGCATAATGCTTTTTAGGGGTGCCTCTGCAGAAGGTGCAATAACTCCCCCTGTCTATTACATAAAGCAAGGTGATAATGCTTAATCTCTGTTAAATTTTGCCAACCAACCGAACATGGATTTTCTAAAAAATATTTTCACAATCTGGTATCATTGCAAATATTTTGAAACTCAGAACATATCACTCTCTTGATTTTACATTTTAACACCAAAAGAACTCGATCAACACCCAATCCAGAGCTAAGATAATCTCAGATAAGTTACAATATATATCTTTATTTAGTTGACTTTTCAAAAAATTTTTTGTATGACACATTATAGACAAAGTACATACTAAAACTGGTAGGAACCTGAATCTTTAATATAAAAATATTAGTAATTACGAAGTAAATTAAATTTATTAAAATACAATCTATTTAAAAATATCAACATGATTATAACGCTCGAAATATACGTATAAGCAATGCAACAACAAGAAATATTATACAATCGTAAAAATGTACTTGCCGAAAACCATAAATAAAATAACAATAGTCAAAGTAATAAAACAATTGGCAATAGAAATAAAACAAACATTGGAAATAATTTATTACAACACATCCAAGTAATGTAATACAGGCCATTTGGGGGCATCTCTTTTACGAATCATAACATTATAAGACTTTAGGATAGTACTAGTATGAAATTAGTACAAATATTATAATGTAAAATAAATAATGACATATAATCTAAGGCACAGTTTTCAAATAATAAAAATAAGACCATAGACTGCTATGTTAGGTTCTTTCACAACATAAAATCGTTGTTCACAGCACAATTTCATCTTCGAATTAAGTAAATATAATTAATATAAAATTCAAATACACACTGTATGCACTAATGGAATGTAAAACATATAAAACAGTATTAATTTGACAATCGGGATTTCAATGATAGCACCTGCTTTGATGCTGTCACATAATCTAGGCAAATGCGTAGGGTATAAAACATAATTAAATTAAAAAAATTCACAGTGTATAAAAATATAAAATAAAAAAAGATTGAAAGGCTAAAGTACCAATTGAAAAATACGCCTCTCGCTAGCTAGGACTGTTGTAAAAATAACATTTGTACATGATTAAGTAATTAACATAAAATTGTGTCGACTGCATCACTGTGAACGTTTTAAAATGCTGAATAAATTAATGTTAGTACCTTAAATACAGGCGTGTTATTTGTTATTTAAAGAGGCATTAGCAGGTAACGTCGCTGACCTTTGGACATTCATATATGGCTTCAGAGATGATCTTGTGGATTCCCTAACAATGAAAATATGTACATCGACTATTATACTAGTACTGATCAAGAAAAAACAAACGAGCCATTCACATTCAAATGCATAAAAATTGGCAGTAAAGTAACACAAATTTGTTAGCGTGCACAGAAAGCTTGTTAATTGCGATGCTTTCAACATATTTCACACTCAATAAGCACAGGTTGCAGTGTTAACATTTAGACCAACAAACAAAGAAAAACAAACTGGATATGTAATACATGTCTCATCCAAATATGTAGGGTGAGTTAGGAGAACAAAATTGCTCTAATGTTGCCTGCACATCCAATTTGAACCTTACTAACAAAAATTTAAAGACCAGAGATTAGATTTCGATTTTTAGGCTTTAATTCAAACCAAAGTATTCGTGAAGTTTTCGACTCCACCACCCAGACCTAAGACTGAAGCAAAACTCAAAATTATCCAGACTCGGTGCTTCCATGGTTCTAGCCTTCAGGATAAACCTCACGTTATTACGTTTCAAAGTTTGGTTTTTAGATTTTCAAATGTCAAGCTATAGAAGCTTCATTTTGACTTGAGGCTCTTAAGTTGTACATCTAAGAACAACACTCAAGCATCAGTTTGTAGGTTTTTGATTTCAGAAATCAGCCTATTTAGGCTTCAACATTAAGCCTCAAGCTTCCAACTCCATTTCCAGATTTAAGGAAATTGAATTCAAGCGTCAGGAACTGGACGGAAGAAAACTTCAAGTTCAGGTACTCTTGTTTTTGCGAACTGCAAGCTTTTACATTAGAGAACGTTTGAAACGTCATGGAGTCAAGTTTAGAATCAAGGGTCCAACCTTAAGTTATATGATTTGAGCTGGTTTGGAGTCTGTGGATGCATCACAGAATCTTGACATTCAAAAATTGATGGATTTTTGTTTTTGACTCCAGACTGCATATCTCACTTTTAGGTTTCAGCTTATAAGCATATCACAAAAAACAGACATTTAGCATTGGGGGTCTCAAATGCCAAAATATGGGCGTCACGTCTTTAAAAATTTGTTGTGCATTGAACGTCATGCTTCAGTAGATATCCTCCGTGGTTTTGGGATTCAAGTTCTAGGCTTTGTGCATTCGGCTTCTGCCTCCAAGGTTGACGACTATGTCATAAAGGAGTTAAGTTCTGAACTTTGGAATTCATGTTTCAAGCTCTAAGTTACGACATGAGTACTTGCACTTTCAGACCTTACACCACAGGATGCAGGATCTTGAATGCAGATATCCAAATCTCTGCAAATACACACAGCCTCAAGATGCAATGTAGGAGAGATGGAAAAATTTGGATCAGTGTACCGTACTTCCACTAGAAGAGTTTTTATTCCAAATAGGGATGCATCCAGTAATTTCAATAACTTCACTAAAACATTATATACAGGGTGTTTTTTTTTTCATTTTCACTATGGCGATTGCAACAGGTGGTCACTTTAGCATTGGAAAGTTTTGGTTTCAAAATTTACAAATTTGCCAACATACAAAATTGTATACGTGTACAGTTTCATAAAAGAAAATAGAACGCAGGGAAGTAATACGCGTTAAAATCAGAAACGAGTGTTCAAGCATATGAACTGCTGCGTTACAGAGATCACCAGTTCATTTAGTGTGCTCACTAGTGAACGAATTATCTTCCACCACGGATATATTTAATATTGCTTTAAACGAACTGTTAAAATTCGTTGAATGAAATTTAGTTGTATCAGAGTTGAATTTTTAGATTTGTTTGTTGTTTTTTTTCTTGAATAGCTCGCAATAACTTTAAGATTTCTTTTTTAGATATTGTCCTGTTATAGAGTATTTACTTGTTTGGACAATAAAGATTATTATTATTATTATTATATAAGTGTCAAAACGTTGCCGTTGTAAAAACCGTCGTAAAGCCGTAAAGGACCATGAAGGACGGCATTTCTACTATACTTTTACCTACATGCATAAAAAACAAAACTAAACCCGGTTTAGCGTTGGGTCCGTTTAGGGTGTAGAATTCGGCGAACATTGTAAGTAAAAATCGGGTGGGAGAAAGAAATTCACAAGCACACTTTTGAGGCAAAACTATGTAACGTAAGCGCGCCAATTTTTAGATCGCGTAACACGAAATTCTTGTCCAAGCTTTCAAGGCGAATCATATGAATTGTGTACGCCATTTTTGAGATCGCGTGAAGATTCATTTTTAATTGAAAGTTCAACCTGAAAGCTGTATAACCGAAGTATATGAAAGAATCCTTAGTCGCGCAACCGGAAAATTATACCGCCATTTTTCGACACAATTCTTGTCATGGGTGTTATTATTATTATTATTAATACACACGTGAATATTTGCGTGTTATTACGTTATCAGATTAACGTGCTCGCAGTTAAATAAATTGTTACCACAAAAGCGTTGGGGTCCAAGGTGCAGAACGTTCATTGCAGATATATTTGGAGTAGTTAAACAATTAAAAAACGTGTGTTAATCAAAACTATGCGCCTCTATTGTGTATATGGGGTATTAATAGACCATATTAGATTTTTACGTCACTTGATGGAGTAAAAATTACAAAATCGATTATATCCGCGGCGTTAAAAAAACATAAGTGGCGACGATATCACATTTAATACGGTAAAGATATCAGATTACATACATAGGCAACATTGGGCGCGTTCGGCCAGGCCATTGCTGTCGCAGCGCCAAGGTGGCCGTTGTTTGGCACTTAACAGCGTCCGTTGTTTCACAACAGTTGATTTTTACACTGTGCTTGAAACTGAAAGGTTTGTGGTTTAGATTTTAAAATTAAAACCCAATTCCCTTCTGCAAATCAACTTATGATAAAATATCTTGATTTAGATGATCTGGGCTTCTGGCTTCTGTAAATTGACTGATAATTTGAAGACAGCTATTAGATTTTGCCATTGACTATTGGCCGGTGTCTGCAGGCAAGGTTTGAGTAGTCTTCAACCTTACGGCTTCAAGTAGAGAATTCACACTTTGGTTTCGTGATTCAAGATTTAATGATGCTCAGCTTTCAAGTTTTAGCAGATCTCTTTACAATCCAATCTAGATTTCAAGCTGGTGATCGGATTCCAAGTTCCACGCTTAAAACGCATATTTCAATGCACCCGGTAGCTCTCAAAATCCAACCCTATCTTACTGTTTGGGAGATTCTAAGATTTTACCATTGATTTTAAAAGATAAGTCACCACAACAATTTTATGTACCACACTACCTAATGAGGTGAAGCTGTTCCAAATGTAACAAAGCAAAAGAAAACATTTCTTATGGCCAGTTGCACCGTCAAAATTAAGTATCGCTTAAAGTTAAGCATAACTTAAATGCCATAGCAACGACTGTCTTAATAATCGTTGCCATAGATTTTAAGTTCTACTTAACTTTAAGCAAGGCTTAATTTTGTTGGTGCAACTGGGCATTAATTTAACAACTTGCATTATTTACTTACCTCGGTATGTGTCATAAGCAACTCATAAAATAATGCTTTTAATTGACTACATTGTACTTACAAAATAAATCATTATGCCATAGTTAATTTCATTGTATCTTCCATATTGTTAGTTTTGTCAACTCATGAAAGGCTTGTATTAGTTAAGTACACAATTAATTTAAAACAATATGGAAGTCATACACTATAACTATAAATACTATACAATACACAGTGACTTACACGTTACAACAATCAAGCATTGCATTATAAAACAGCACAAACACGTATAATGTACACTACACTACAAGCTAATGCAGATCAGCCACTCGCATACCACAAAAGTCATTAGCTCAACTCACCTTGGTGAAATTTTGGCAGAGTCTGTATTTGAATTATTCGCTTTATAACCACTTTTTTGAATCTTTTTACTAAGTCTCGTGACCCAATGTTTCTGATCTTCAACGGATGGCGCAAGTAGCAGCAGTTCTTTGGCATAAGTAGGATCATAATGTAACTTACATGGAGCTAGGTAATCTTCCTTCCTATCGAGGTGCTCTTTGTGTATTTTCGTTCGACATCCTTAAAATAACAGCTACCATTCCTGCTTCGAGAATGACTACAATACTTACGTCTACACTCTAGAGCTGGAGGCGGTCGAAACATGTGCCACATAGGTTTAGGGCATACCTCACAATTGGTCGGCATATGAAAGGAGATTTGTAAGAACTCGTGACCCTTGTGCATCACAGCTCCCGGTTTATCGTCGCCTCTAATCGAACTGACATCTAACATGTTTCCTTGTTCGTCAGTCTTTCTAGCTTCGCCTTCACCAGCATATAATAATTGAAATATCCTAGGAATATCTTTTGAATCTGCTCTAATAACATCTCCTTGCGTAACCGATCGTACATGAAATACTTTACTAGAACAAGAAACATTGTAAGAATATCATCTAACATCTTTTAGTAAAAAGCAGTTTAGAATCCTTTCCACTATTTTTGTAAATGGAAATATTGTCATTTTTACCGGGGCGGTCGTCGCGGCTATATTAAAGCATGATAGTTTATTGGTATGTCCTACCTAGCAACTACTGTGCGGCCCACACTGCTCAAGCGTTTATGAGGCGGCACAACGGGTCAAAATATTTGATATTTCCGAGTCTACCGCTTCAGTCTAGGAGTCTCTGGTCACGTTTGCCGTCTACGCCTCGGATACCGCGCCGGCCGCATGTTGCCGCTCACGTAGGACATTGCGTTACGGTAAACAACGATGCCAAATTCATTAGAATATGATTTGTAGAAAATGGGAGACCCGTGTTCGATCCTGGCCAATGCAGAATTTTTTAATTTTATATATTATTTAGCATTTCTAAATTTTACTAGACTAATGATGATCGTTGATGTAGTGTGTCACATAGGCCCGCAGGACCAACAATGCGCATTCTGTGTATAACATTTTTACAAAAACCATGATTTCTATGTTGCTACTCGCCACCTATGTCGATCGTATTATCAATCACGCAATATTAATCAGTGTCCAAAGGTTAATTATATTAAATCACGGGTTAAGAACTTCGAGGTAACAAGTTAGACAATCAATAAAAAACAAACAGGGCAAATGCAGAGCAGGAGGGGTGAAGAGATGTCTACACGTAAGCGTTCAGATGCTTTGGCGATACGCCGAACGCGTTTGTGTCAAGACGTAAAACTGCACCCCCATACAATCGGTGCACGAGTGAAAAAAAAACGATTTAATTAAACACAAAGTTTGTTGATACGATGTCCAAGCGACTTATCAGCTTCTTCTTCTCGTACGAGCTCATTTCCACTTAAATGGCTATGTCCAAAACCCTAAACGGACCCGCCAAAGATCTTTGCATTCTCCTAAAGTAACGGTTTGGGCGGAAATATCTTCAAAGAGCGTAATTAATTGGCCCGTACTTTTTCAAAAATACTCCCAGTGATTCTGTGATCGTTAACTCAGCAGAATGTGTGAAAATGTTTGAGATTGTTTTCAACTATAGGATCTGGATGCAGCAAAATGGCGCAACTCATCATACACTAATAAGATTTACCTGTGGTTAAAAAACTGTTCGGACACAAACGGATCTCACGCAGAAGAGACATGCTATAGCCTCTCCGCAGCCCATACCTGTCTCCAGCTGATTTTTTCTTATGGGGTTTTCTTAAAAAACGAGTCTACGTGAACAAACCAATTCCAATACTCTCATGAAGGGAATATTGGTCAAGAAATGGGTAACATTTCCGGCGCTATGTTGAAGATTTTTTAAAAAATCTAAGAACACTTCAACCTCTAACTATAACATTTTTAAAGCCTCTGTACTTCTGGTGATTACGCGTTAGCCGTCCATTTCCACAAATTTATTTTGTAAACAAGAACAATAAATACAATTTCAAGTAGCGAGGGTTCGAATCTTACCGCCAATTAAAAAAATTTTCCAACAACCGCCCATGACGCCAGTCCAAGGTGGCGAACAAACTGTCGAAATATAGCACTCCAGGCCAACTGCTGAAAATATGCAATCAACTACCAAAATAACCCCATGCCATCTGCCAAAACAACTGAGGCAACTTCCGAAATATGGTACCTCGAGCCAACTGCCAAAATATGATCTCGCACCACAGGCCAACTGCTAAAATATGTCCTTGACGTTTGACGAATCCAGATACTGTATATACAAGGTGTATTCAATATATGAAAGTTGGTATCCGTCACAGTATAGAGTAAATACAATAAGAGTTCCAGACGCTTATTAATTTGTGACCACCTTTCACACACCTCATAAGTAGATGGCGATGTAAACGTGGGAAAATTGGAAAAATTAAAGTCACTAAATATAGATAAATACATATATCTAGTGACTTTAGGGAAAATTAAAGTCACTAAATTTAGAAAGTACCGCAATCCATTGGGCTCGTGTGTTAGAGAGAGAACGCATGATTTTTGCCCAAAAATGGCGGAAGTTACCAGATTCTAGTAACTTTAATGGTAGGGATTGTTCCACCTGTTTGGAGATATCTGTATATATTTTTATAAAACATGACAGTACTATGAAGTTAGGTTATAAAAAATGACAGCTATTCAGATTTTATTTGTCAATTTTTTGAAGTTGGCAGCAAATTTGCCCAAAAATGGCGGATGATTGGGGTACTTTCTATATCTAGTGACTTTAGGGAAAATTAAAGTCACTAGATATAGAAAGTACCGCAATCATCCGCCATTTTTGGGCAAATTTCCTGCCAACTTAAAAAAATTGACAAATAAAATCTGAATAGCTGTCATTTTTTATAACCTAACTTCATAGTACTGTCATGTTTTATAAAAATATATACATATATCTCCAAACTGGTGGAACAATCCCTAACATTAAAGTTACTAGAATCTGGTAACTTCCGCCATTTTTGGGCAAAAATCATGCGTTCTCTCTCTAACACACGAGCCCAATGGATTGCGGTACTTTCTATATTTAGTGACTTTAGGGAAAATTTTCATTCAGCGCCCCCTGTTATGTAGGGCAGATCACTAAATTGGGTAGCTGAATGGGGGTTTACAGTATAGTTGAATTCCGCAGTTCTAATTTAATAAGCGTGTACCTGAAACCATAAAACATTTTTTTGGACAGTAAAAGTTTATTTAAAAATAGAGGCTGATTAGCCAAAAAGTAATGAACATGTGCGGTTTTAAAAGGTTTATTCAAAACGATATGATTGTGGCGGGCTCTGTGACGTAATAAGCCCGACCAATCAGCTCCTAGAACCATTCAGATGACATAACGACTTGGCAATATTGCAAGAGAATGGCATTTATAACTTGCGTCATCTGTCACAGGCACTTGTCACTTTCGTGCTAGATGCAGTTAAACATCCCTCTCAAAACGTCAAATGTGACAAACGTCAGACCCTCGCATAAGGTTGCCAGCTCACTTCTATGTGATTGGTTGTAGGTTTGTGACGTATTTAGTCTGAAGCGTTTCAAATTCGGACTAAAAACACAGCTTTTCAATAATTTATTTTGGGTTTATTTTACTCACAAATAAAAATTGAGGACCCACAGGTCTTTTTATTTTTAATGTACTTTGTGGATCAGAAATAAAAAATGAAGGCGGGATGACCCCATTAGCGCGTTTATGAACCACTCAAAGCCGCGGTTTTACGAAATCATTTATAATGTTTGACCTTGAACTGATAAATTTACGTACATTCTCTTTAAATAAATCAAAGAACTTTCCTTTACTGCCCGACCTTTCAAGAGGATGCATTCGGTAAAAAAAATACATTGGTTGTACTTTGTCAAATAATTTATTACCTACTTGCAATTCTATAAAATGTGCGAAACGAAATCCAATACCCACACAACAATTAATAGTAAGTATCGACGGTTGTTAAATAATAAATCTGTTGAGGGTTTTGACAAACTTATTGTCCCTATTTAAATTCGAGTGCATAAAGATTACAAGATTTGTACCGCACATTATAGATAAGGTTTATTAATAAATTGATCTTTTGCTTGTTGGAAATTTCAAACCAATTTTTAAACTTCTCACGTACCTACTTACGATACAATTCCAAATAATCTTCATGTCCGATTTTTCGCTTCGAACAAAGTCTATTTAGTTTTTTTTTGTAGAAATTAATGTTACGCATCCGTTCGTACTATTGATATCCATTTTCCAAATTTTGAAACTACGTAAACAGAATTTAAATATGACGTTATGAGAAAAAAATCGTGTAAAATTGAATGCACTTCAGCGCATTTTTGTGTGGTAGACCAGTTTCTATTAGCCTGTTATATTGCAACATGAAAGTCGCAAAATAACTTTTTCAAAAGGTAACCGCATGGTGATTTTTTAAGTCTTCTTCTGCAGTTGTAGAAAGATGAGGAGTGTACTTGTACCTACCAGGCCGCATAATTAACAATTCTTTAGGGACGGGACTACATTATGTGGGGTCGGCGACATCCGGGCGCCATCCCCGAGCGTGGTTTACTAACGTGGTGATTTTTTAGTTTTTTCCTATCTTCTTCTGCAGGCAAGTAAACGACCAAGTCTAGCAATTGGGAAAATGTAAACACAAGAACAAGGTCATGATCATTCCATATTTCGTAAAGTGTAAATATGGTACGCATATCTTTATTTTTTAATTATAACGCAATTAATGGATTTTATTTAACGATTATTGCTCTGTTAAGTTAAGTAATCAGTGTTTCGATATAGGAGGGTTGATATGCTTATTTAATGCCATAATAGTCAGTCAGTCAGCCCGTACAGAGGACCTATTTAAAACTGATCCTTAATGGATAGAGCGATAGGGGTCAATATTTCCGACAGTAAAACAGACAAATCCTGCAATTCGAATTTCGCGGGCTATTATGACGTAATCACTAATAGACTCTATTGGTTGTCGCATGTTAAAAGTTTAGGGCCATTCCCGTAAAAGTAGTTCAACATGGCAAAAGTGGCTCCTGACCGACGGAGAACACTAGCACCAGCGCTAAAAAACGCAAGAAAAGTACAATCTTTGCCAATCTACCTTTCATTGCATTGCTGGTTACTGGTTAGATTGTAGAGCATATGTGGTCTCGTAAGAATAAGATACAAATTGTCTTCCGGGTTGAAGAATTGAAGAAACAACTCACACCGGAGAGCCTTTATAATTTCAATTTCTAGATATCAAAATTAAAACCTCTCTTTCCTAATTTTTACGCCTTTTGTTTTGTCATATTTCTTCGAATTAAGCGAATTATCTTTTACAGATTGTATAGAAAGTGTCATATTTCATAGTAGATTAGATTGTACACTTGTGCTAACCATTACAGTAAATGTCGTAAATTGCTCCATAGCTGAAACCCACCTCGACTAACTATAGCGCCATCTCAGAACGAGGGGACCGCATATCGGCACGCTAATGAACGTACGATTTTCTATTTTTATGGTTAGTTACACCCCTTTAAAAAGCAGATGACAGCATCTCCTGAGCGAAAATTAGCAAAGCCAGTTTATCCTATTCGTTTGTAACTCTTATTGTATTTCCTCTATGGTCACAGTTAGATTAGTTATCTGAAAAAAATACGCAACGCAACTGATTCAAATAAACATGCAGGAGCGTTACTTTAAATTTGAAAACATCTCTGTATACTTATTACCGAATTTATTCCATTTGGTTGATACACACTGTATAGGAAGCAACACAAAACAATAAAAGACCCCCCATAATTTATGCTAGTTGTTTGTGACCTTATAGTTTGTGGCATACTCAAATTTGCCTTTTGTAGTAATGACAGGAGAGGTGGACAACCAAGTGCTAATGCATTGTATTCAAATATGAGGCCGGCATACGTGTCACACTTCTGCTTGAATTAGTAATTCATTCAATTTCAGTGGCAATACTTACCGTACAAATCCCTTCAACCATGAATTCTTTAAAGTCAAAGGGTCATGGCTATACAGATTTCACGCTTTCACAGGGTTCTAAAAAAGCAAAGCCTATGGAGTTAAAACTTGCAGGACTTGACAACAACAAATTCAAAACATTCCCAATGTACAAATGGCACTTTCCACAGCCACAGTTGCATTAGTTTTATTTATTGGTGCCAACTTAAGTAATCCGTCCGAATTTTCCTGGACCCATTTGTGGGTAAAATTCTGTTCAGAAAATATCTGTTTCCAACCATAAATTGACGTTTTTGTCATCTAGATAATACGTTTTGGAGTTTTTCTTACATAAATAATTCTTTGGTCAATTTAATTTTTTTAGTCTACTCTAAGAAAATATAAGTGGTAACGTAGAAATTTTATTTAGAAACACCCTGTAGTATGTGTTATACTTTTAAATTTCAAAATTTTAAGTTTAATTATGGAAAAGCACTGTTGGATGAGGAGGACGGGTTGATATGATTTGGGAAAAATGTTGAATTTATGAGGTTTGCGGTAGAGGGTTTCCATTACTTGCACTATGCGCATTTGTGTCTGTGAGAGTTACTATGTTTGTGTGTGCGAGGTAAATTGAAAGAGGAGAATGAGAAAGGGATTCAACTTCAAAGGATGGGGACGACAACAGGCGACATCTAATGGAGGAATTTTATAACATACTACATTATGTTTGTAAATAAAATTTCCACGTTACCACTTTTGTAGTTTCTTACACTACAAACTCATCCGGGCCAAACAAAAAATCTGTTTCACTTACACTAGTTAAGATTTCTTTGCGTGATCTAATAAATTGCATGTTGTCGTCACAGCAGTAAGTTTAGTGAGACCCATGAATTACTTGTATTCATCTCACTGTTCATTAAATACTGATCAACACAAATATTTTTAACACTTCTCATCTCCATTGACCAGCCTTATTACTATTTCTTTTAGCTTTATTTTCTCAATCGAACCAATTTTGATACACTAATGTATTTTATAGCAGTTTCTCCGAGTCTGTATCTTACTTGTTGAGGAAAGGATTCTAATTTTAACTATTAGATGTGAGTAATTAGTAGAAGGGCTCAATGTTACTCCATTTTGACAATACAAAGTAAACTTACCATAAATCTAAAACAATGACTGGATCTGTATTTTGTTTATCACTTTCCGAATTATAAAATATAATCTTTCTACTGGATACAACGACGTATTGCTTCCTCCAACCGTGCCGCCTAATGTTTTGTTTTGTCGGTATCGAAAGCCAACCTTCGAACATGGAATCCGTATTGAAATCATCGCCATCGTTATCGGCCGAACTTAAAGACGCAGTTTCACTATTCAACGTAGCTAGTTTCATTTGCAATTGTTCAATTTCGGAGTCTTTACTGTCTAATTCCATTTGAAGCCTCTGTTTCGCCAAACTTTCTTCGTTTAATTGGAACTAAAAAGATTAACCAAATGCATTTTGCCAAAAACAACAATTAGTTACGCACCTGCATGTCTTGGATATTTTTCTGTGACGCTTGAGATACTAAGATGAACTTTTCTTTTTCTTGAGTCAACTCCTGTTGCAATTTCTTTAAGTCCTTCTCTTTTCTCCTGAGGTCCGAACTGGAAACTTTGTCCTTACTCTTACCTTTACCTTCTCTAATATCTTTCCGATTGAGAACTTCGTGTAATTTATTTACAGCCTGCTGTTTGAGAAGCGATTCAGTCTTTAATTTATTAGTTAACCTCTCTATCTCTTCAGTGTTATCTATCTTTTTATTAAGTTCATCCTGGACTTGTTTTAAATGTCTACCTAACTCCTCCTTCTCTTTAAGTAACTGCTCCACGTGCTTCTTCATGTCCAGCTCCCGCTCCTTACTGGCACTAACCATAGATTCCTTTGCGCTAACATCACTTCTATGCTTCGCTAAAAGATCTTTAAGTTCGAGCTCCTTCATTGTCTTCTCTTTTTCTAAATCAGCGATAGTCTCTTCGGCAATCGATCTGGCTAAGGCTTCGGAATCCGCCCGCGCGAGAGCTATTTGACATTGGTGCTTTAAAGAAACGCGCTCCTCTTCGAATTCCTTGTTTATCCGATTCTTCTCTTCGATTTCTTCTTTCAATTCGGTCGTTTGCGTTTTGTAGAGAGTCGAAAAGTACTGCTCCGTTTCCAGCGAATCTTGTACCTCCTTCATTTGTAGCTTTTCAATCGACCATTCCCGCTTCAATTTATACAGCTCTTCCTCTATACATTTTTTACTATCCTAAAAAAAAACATTCGCGCATTAATCACACAGAAAATAAATGAATTACTTGTAACTGTGCGACTTCCGCAGATAACTGACTTTCCTTAGCTTTAATTTGTGCTATTTCGGACAGGTGTTGGCTAAGTTCCGAGTTTAAGATTGTCTTTTTCTGCTGCTCTTGTTCCACCTGACTTTGAAGACCTTTTACTTTTTCCATTTCTTGCCTATATTCGCCTTCTAACTTTTGAAGTCGTTGCTGAATTTGGCGATAGTCAACCGAAAGCATGGATATTTGCCTTTCTTTTTCCTGCGAATTCAAATCGGCTTTCTGGCGGGCAATTTTCTCTTCATTTAATTTTGTTTGAAGTGCTGAACAAATAATAAAAAATTATGACGAATCTGTATAACACAAACAACAGAATTTTTTTATTTTGAAAATGCATTGTGATTTAATTTGGAGGTATTCGTTTTACAATGTGAATGCGGAGTGGCCTCCAAAACTGAAATAGTTTGTGAGGAATTTTTTTTATATTTTCTTGTTCACGATTGGGAAAAGAAACCACCTAAAATCGAATTAATTTTTGAAAAACGTAAATTTTCTTTTTAATTGTGGTCTTGGAAAATGCAGCAATTCTAATCGAGACATAAAAGAAATTCTTTCCAGATATTTAGGTAATTTAAAGTTTTTAAAAAATAGAATTCAAATTTCAAAATTTTTACTGTCATGAAGTAAAATAGTACAAAAAAGTATTGATTGTTGGGAAATTACAGAAAATGCTTAAGGGAAGAGGATAATGAAACCTTTTTTGGGATGGTCAGACACCAAATAAAAATGTAAGTTTCTAAGTGCTCATTATTTTTTTATTTCATTCATAATAATCAAGACTCTCCATGCCAAGTATTAAACGCCTCCTTAGTCGCATAAAACAAATTTTTAATATAGGTACTTAATATGTAAGTGAAATTTCATGCAACATGAAAACATCAAGCTTTAGAATGGTTCGCTAAGGGTTCACAGGTTCAAAAAGTGCAATTATATCCACACAACACAACCTACATTTTCACCCCTCAACGCTTAAATGAGCAGAGGGATGAACAAAAAAAAACTTTCGCGCTTGTCGTATGGGGAAACAACTATGAATTTTTGATGTACACCTCTTTGAATTAATTTGAATTAACGTGAATTAATTTGAATTAACGTGAATTAATTTGAATTAACGTGATTTAATGTGAATTAATTTGAATTAACGTGAATTAACTTGAATTAACGTGAATTAATTTGAATTATCGTGAATTAATTTGAATTAACGTGAATTAATTAGAATTAACGTGAATTAATTAGAATTAACGTGTATTAATTTGAACTTGAATTTTTGGTGTACACCAAAAATGGTACTTATTTCCCCCTAGAAAGCTACAAAAAAAAAAGAAAAAAGCATTCGAGTGGCGGTAAACCCATTTCTAGGGGAATGAAACAAAAAAATATTCACGCCGGTGGTTGTCTGGAGGAGAACGAAACGCTGGTAGCAATCGTATTTCCAGCGGAATGAACATAAAAAAATCATTTGCCCTTGTGTCAATACCACTTCAAGCGGAACGAAAAAAATATATAAAAACCATTCGCGCTTGTGATTATACCGAAGAGAATAAAACCAAAAAAATGCTGATAGCAATCCTATTTCGAGCGCAATGAAAACAAGTTAAAAAGTAATCGTAAACGAATTACATAAAGCGCATTTCCAATTGCATTCATTTCCCATTTGTAAGATGCAACTTCTGTTAAAATAGTAAAAATCCGGCCACAAATATGAAAGATAGCGTTGCACATGGGCAATCCATTTTTGCCGTGCTTCTTCAAGTTCAGTTTATGAGAAGAATTTCATTTCAATGCTTTTCTAAATAAGAAAGTTGGAACTGCGCATGCGCAAACCTAAATTTTGAAACTAATGTTAGATTTTCCTTTGTTCCAAGCGCCTAAATATCAAATTTCACTTAAATGCTTCCATAGATAAAAAAGTTGGCACTACGCATGCGCAAAATAAAATTTTGAAACTGTTGCTAGATTTTCCTTTATTCCAAGCACCTATGTATCAAATTTCATTTAAATGCTTCCATAAATAAAAAAGTTGACACTGCGCATGCGCGAAACCAAATTTTGAAACTGGCGTTAGATTTTCCTTTATTCCAAGTGCCTATGTATCAAATTTCATTTAAATTCTTCCATAAATAAAAAAGTTGGCACTGCGCATGCGCAAAACCAAATTTTGAAATTGGCGTTTGATTTTCCTTTATCCCAAGTGCCTATGTATCAAATTTCGTTTAAATTCTTCCATAAATAAAAAAGTTGGCACTGCGCATGCGCAACACCAAATTTTGAAATTGGCGTTTGATTTTCCTTTATTCCAAGTGCTATGTATCAAATTTCGTTTAAATTCTTCCATAAATAAAAAAGTTGGCACTGCGCATGCGCAAAACCAAATTTTGAAATTGGCGTTTGATTTTCCTTTATCCCAAGTGCCTATGTATCAAATTTCGTTTAAATTCTTCCAAAAATAAAAAAGTTGGCACTGATGGTAATGCCATTTTAAGCGAAACGAAAAAAAAATTCGCGCTGGTGGTAACCCCTATCTAGCAGATAGAAACAAAAAAAAATAGATAAAAATCATTGGCGCTTGTGGCAATCCCATTTCGAGCGGAATGAAATAAAAAATATATATATTTGTGCTGGTGATTATCCCGAAGAGAATTAAATGAAAAATAATATAAAAATCAATGGTCCTGATCAATGCCACTTCAAGCGGAACGAAAAAAATTTGCACTGGGGGCAAGCCCATATCTAGGGGAATGAGACAAACAAAATATTAGCGCTGGTGGCATCCCATTTTGAGCAGAATGAAACGAAAGAAGAAGATAAAAACTCATTCGCCCTGATGACAATGCCATTTCAAGCAGAACAAAAAAAAATTCGCCCTGATGGCAATGCCATTTCTAACAAAATGAAACAAAAAAAGAATCATTCGGCCCGATGGCAATGCTCTTTTAAGCGGAATGAAAAAAAAATTCGCGCTGGTAGTAATCCTATTTCTAGCAGATAAAAGCAACACAAAAATCAATGGAGGTTGTGGCAATCCATTTCGAGCAGAATGGACCTGTAAGCTGAATTTCTTTCAAAATAAAACATCACGTTCATATTATGGTTCGCTCAGATAGCTTTACTACATCAAGAATGCGCATTTGAAAAAAGTTTACGGCCCTCCCTGCTCATAAATGTACGTATCATCTTGGAAGAGTGTAATCCTTAAAAAATCCAATATGGCGGCCTTAGGAAATAAGAAAGTAGTTGCCTGTAGCGTCTACATCTAGCGTGTCTAGCATGAAAATTCTGATAACCGATTCAGATTCTCCATATAGAAGCTGCTAAGGCAAACCGTCCATTTCCGACCATTTAAACTAGGGAAAATGTAAACGAAATTTGCCATTTTTAGTTTTTCGGTAATATCATTTTTAGATATTATTTCAAAAATTCATTTTCTATGAAAACTGTTTACAAGAGATGATTATATAAATTACATTTTTGTACGGTTACAAGGATTTGAGTTATGGACCTTTGTACGTGACATTCTGACGATTATCAAGTTGCTTACATAAACATATTTACAAAAAAATCCAGCAATAATTATTGATTGCTATGGTAAAAATAGTCGTAAAAAATTATTTTTGTAAACAATTTTGACTTTAGGTACAACAGGAAAATGTGAAAATAATTAAGAACAAAATTCTACCCACCTTTAACTACTTCCAGATTGGCTTCCTCCTTATTTAACATCCTGGTCCTTTCAGTTTCCTCGTGCGCCTTCACCTCTTGATGATACCGATTTTGAGCCGCCTTAAGTTCCAATTCTAAACCCGCGCATTCCTTTTCTAAATTCGATATCCTCTCGCTTAGACTTATATTGTCAGCTGCCATTTTCCCCTCCCTCTGCCTAGTGTGCTCCAATTCGCTATGTAAACTAACAACTTTATTTTCGAGAACTAACTGCTGATCAGAAACCTGCGTCCTTGAACTTTTCTCCTGACTCAGTTGACTCTGCAAGGAGGTCACCTCCGCTTGTAGAGCGTCCCGTTGCGACTGAATCGTTAGCAATTTCGTTTGAAACTCACTGGCCATTTGTTCGGAGGTCGACTTGGCCATCGTAAGTTCAGCTGCCTGCTTACGCAATCTTTGACAATTTTCCGTCTCAACCTTTAGCTTGTCTTGGAGCTCTGTCACTTGCTTTTCAAGCAGGTTGATCTTGTCATTGTGCTGCTGATTGTTATTCATCTCTCTCGTCCGTTTACCTTGCTCGTCTTCCAAACGTTTCTTAACATCTCCTAGTAGCTTTTCGGTTTTGCGTCTCAATTCGATTTCATTTTCGGCTTTCCGTTGGATGTCCTTATAACTGTGCTTCAAAATTGTCAATTCTTTCTCATATTTAGATGCCTCATCGCGTAGGTCCGTCTCACGTTGTGCTAAATTATCTAATTGAGCGATTAAAATTCGTTGTTTGGATTCTAAAGATTCTACATTGTTTCGTTCCTGTTCTAACAGTTTTTCTAACTTGCAAACTTGAGCATTTGCATTTTTATCACTAGTTATATGATTAGAAATTGAGCGCGTGTCGACGATATCTTGCCTACTAGACAGTAGTTGATAATCGGAATTGTAAGTAAATCCGATGAACGGCAGATGATTACCTGCAAAATTATTTGGCACAGCAAAACTCTCTTCGGGAGTTTCGTCTTTTTCATAATCATCAAAGTTGCTGGTATCATCATCGCCGGTCAATTCTGGAACAACAGGCGGTGCGGACTCCCTTAAGTTCTCGAAAGTCCATTGGTCATTGATAAAGAAAGAATGGCTTTTAATTTCATCAACAGAATTGCTACCTAACCGTTTGGTTCTATCACATAATAAACCCTGTATTAGAGATTTAGCGTCGGAGGAGATTTCTACTTCAGGTGGAAACGAAAGGTTGTTCTCATGATACATAATTTTATTGTAAGTACCTAGCAAGCTATCGGCGTAAAATGGAGTTTCACCCACCAGCATTTCATAGACAAAGATCCCCACAGACCACCAATCGCATTCTCTACCATACACCCCCTTGCCATGACTCTGCAGAACTTCAGGCGATATGTAATCAGGAGTTCCCACAACGTTATTAGATCGCACTAGCCCATCTTCGTCCATACGCATACACGTACCAAAATCTGCCAATTTAAGATGTCCATATTTATCTAGCAACATGTTGTCCGGTTTAACGTCCCTATGCACGAAACCCATCTTATGTATCACATCCAGCGCTAGAACAACCTCCATCGTGTAAAATTTCGCCCACTTTTCGGGAATGTCATAATTGCCCATTAAATTAACAATGTCACCCCCCGGCATATAATCCATCACCATGTATAAGTGTTTGGCGTCTTGAAATGCAAAGTGCAACCGCACTATCCACTCGGAATTGGCATGCGCCATTATATGCCGCTCCTCCCAAAAAAACGCTGAATCTGATCGCTTAATTAAATCGGCTTTACTAAGGCGTTTCATCGCGTACACCTGATTTGTTGATCTATGACGGACTAATTGTACCTTGCCAAATGCACCTCGGCCAATTACTTTAATGTGCTCGTAGTCATCTGTTTTCATTCGAAGGTTCACTATCTCACTTGCGAATTTATCATCTAAAACAGAACCTCAGATTATCAACAATTTGAAACAATATTTTTTTTAAATCAAATTCAACAAGCACGAAAGGCTATGGATATGCATCCTATTTTTATTTTATTATTTTTTAACGCATTTTCCTAAAAGAATGCTATTATTTTGTACTTTCTATCGACAATGTGTTTCAGAGGTGGATAAACTAGATAAAAATCTATACAGGAATTTCCAATTTTGTGGGTGGTAGCGTCACTTGACTTTATGTGTGTATCGACATTGATTATACACACTATCAGATAGGCCGAGGTTAATAATTTGTTTCATCCTATTCCATGCGCGCGGTCCGCAGATGGCGCTGTACATAATTTAGAAGTACCGCCGCTGCGATGCAGATGGTAGCACACAATATTTTTTCAATACTAATATCTCCCATTATCGGTAGATGGCGTAAATGAATTTCGAATCAAAGATCATAATTCCGGAATGAGAATATAGGGGATTTTTGTATTTGCGTGACTCCATCGGTACTGCGCAACCTAAAGCGCGCTAGAATTTGAATTTGCGTTGAATGGTCTAAGTGAAACGAGAAGTGTAAAGGGGTAAATAATAAACATAACCTGCAAACGTTCATAAATAAATCACCTTTTATTTATGGCAAACGTTTTGATAATTGATTGAAGATAATTTTACCTGCTTACCTATTGGAAGTAGGTGTAGTAGGTAGGTATACGTTAATGCCATGTTATCAAGATGAATTTTGTTGTTATTTACATTTCGAGTACACGGCTATGAATTCCTCGAGGAATTCCTAGAATAAGGCAAAGGCGATAGCAAGAAACTGCTTCGGTAAGTACTGTAACAGTTAATGAAATCTACTTACAGCAATAACGTTACAGACCAATATGGACCTACAGTAGAGAGAGAGTGCTGAACGAATCAAGAACAGATTATTGTAAAGGGAAGTTACACAACTTGATGGAATTCCTGTAAGAAAATAAAAAAGAAATGGATGCCCTGATAGACGAAACACATATGGAATACCGGAATTCAAAATAGGAAGAAAAGGGGACGCATAAAGACAACGTAGGATATCTACCTAAGTGTTAGAATGTCATGCCTTCCTTGCGAATCATCTGCCACAGTATTGTAAAAATTGTTTCTAAATCAGCCACAATTTCTGAATGTCGCTACGATTCGTAGAATTGTGCTTTTTTTGGGACCGGTCCGTCCTGGATACTCGGTGCTGAATAGATCGTATACCACTCTGCTCTTGTGCCTACTCTTGTACAATACATGAACACCTTTTCAGCGCTGGAATACATGCTGCTGCTTCTTTATCCACTTTGCGGGATTGAGATCGAGAACTGTTAAGTGAAATAACTTTGAGAACAATTGGCGTAATGTAAATTTCCCTATGGACCATTTTAAATAACTCAACGCCTTTACATTGACCTAAGTAAAAACTTGACAAACATTTATTGAAAAAATGTTTATTTGCTACTGCCAGCACTTATATAACAACAGCGACTGGCGGTTGTTGATTTTGTACAAACTTATAACGCACCCTGTGGACTCGGAGTCTGCTAATTACAATAAAAAATTGCACAAGTACACTACTCTGCAAATATGTTCGTACTAATCCTCCGTGTCTTGAAACGAACAGCTATTACACTGGGGCGTTACGAAAATGTCCATATAAAAAAACACTGCTGAATGTGAATCTGCCGTGTCCTCGAAGGTTGATCGCCCAAATTTATCACTTGTTAAGATTTGTCAGCGCAAAGGAAACATGCGTTTGCTATCATTAGTATAACTGAAGAGCATAAGAATATTCAGAATTGAACAGCCAGTTTACTAGAAACTCAAAATATTTTGCTGCTTCTGAAATAAGCAATCCACACACATGCTTTCGATTTCCATGAGCAAAAGATCCTCTCTACGTAGCTTGTTAAGAATAAAATGTTTTCGGTTTTATGACTTTGAAGAAATGGTTATCTTGTTCCCTTTAATATAAAGCACTGCGAAGGAGTGAGGATACTTAGGATATAAAAGGAACCACAAATGTTTATTAAATTTCTAAAAGGCGATCGATTTCGGGTTTTCTATCTAGCCATCATCAGGCCATGGGTAGATAGAAAACCCGAAATCGATCGCCTTTTAGAAATTTAATAAACATTTGTGGTTCCTTTTATATCCTAAGAATTTACAACGAACCCAAAATAATGGAGAACTACATTACATATAGAGTCAGGATACACTGATGTAAAAAGAAATTGATTATAGGTACACCTACACTTCTTTAAAGATTATAACACTTACATATTCGTACAATAAGCTGGCATTGTTTACATCACAGTTTTTAACCATTCTTGGAGGTAGTCGGAATAATATTTTGTTTGTTTCAATGCAGAGCCCTGAGATGAAATTTTATTTCGTATATTTTTATAAAACATGACAGTACAATGCAAAGTTAGGTTATAATAAAATTACAGCTGTTCAGATTTTAGTTTTTAATTTGACAGCAAATTTTGCCCAAAAATGATGATTGCGATACTTTCTTTTTATCAACAATTTATCCAACGCGCCCTCTGGACTGAACTCCAAGTACTAACTGTTGGCTAATGAATTTTCGACCTTGTGGTTGTGAGCAATGCGTAAATAATTTAGTGATACATAGTGTGACATCTGCCCGCCTTAACGGGAACTCTTTTATAGGATCATGTAGCCTCATAAGCTCGGCCTATCTGATAGTGTATATAATCAATGGTATCGATAAAAAAAAAGGTGAATCAAAATTCAACTTGTGGCATACTAGCAAAAGCTTCTATGATTTTGATCCTAAATTAGTTTCTATATTAATTATTCACTACATTGTAAATTAGGCATTTAAGTTCATTTACCTTCACTAGTAGAACAATATTATTGTGTTTATTTAATTTCGCATATCAAACATGAGATAAGGTCTACTGCAATTGACTTTCTACAATATAAACAAACAGTTACGGCTTGAAAATTTGAAACTAATAAGTCGCGTAAAAAGTGGGGCTAGTGACTATTCGCTATTCATTTTAAGAAGGTAGCGGTAGAAAGCATAGGGACAGCTTGACCTTCACTGTGATTGGTTAAAACACAAGACAGTATTACCCTGAAAAATAAAACGAGTGACGTCTGTCTGTTAGAAGTTTCAATTACGAACTAAACTGTCGAACTGTCATTAGCTGTCAATTTCAAAGATCCAAGCGTGATATCGTTTGATTTATATTTATATTTTTCAAATTTTGTGCCGTTTTATATTTTTTCTGTGTGTGTCGATCTTCAAACACAGCGCCATGTATGTATCTGTGCCATATGTAAACTTTTTTTGTGTATGTTTCTTCTGTCAGTCAATGCATTCAAAAAATAACATTTTTATTTTTTAATTAAACAATGTCAGATACCGGCCCGTCAGAAGGCGAGGATGATGCATCCCCACTATTCATATTCTATTAATTTCTCATATTGGTGCGCCACGAAGCCAGTTTGCTTCTCCTGCAGACATGGTCATCTTTGAATAGCTCGCTCTCGCCTTGTTACTAGTACAGCTCTCATACAGATACATGAAAATTCCACTAAATAGCCATAGTGTAAAGAATATAATAGTGAGACAGCCTTACAGAAAAAAAAATGGAAATGGGTTTGGACATCGAGATTTCGTAGTTCTGGACGCGATCTCTAAAACGGAGGGCGCATAGATCACAGTGTTTGGCACTGATCGATGTTACAAATCTCTAAGAATAAACTGCGATTAATCACAAAACCAACCATTTACAGATGAGATGAACAAATTTATTCGGCATAAACCAATCATAATCTGAAAGACAAACAGGCACTCAGGGCCAGAATAACACAAAACATGCAACAAGTGATCGATAAAACAATTAATTAATTAACTCAATGACCGAAGATCATTTAACAGCTATTTCCATGTTATCTATTGAGAAGCAGACAATTTTAATGACAAACTGATTACAGCATTTGGGAACAAACTACCAATCCTATATGGGATATTGACATTGTGAACAATACCTTCCTTCCTAGCTACCTTCATTGTATCTTGCTGGTTAGCTTATTTTAATTTTAATCATTCACAATAATAATAATAATAATAACACGTAACTTTATTAGGCAGTTCAGTTTTTCCACCTAACCACCATGTGCATGTGCACTAGCGTCGTATAGTATAATGAAACAGAAAGAAAAGATCTGTATTTTTTACCGACAATCTAGAGAACAATCTTTAATGAATAACAATATTGACAGGTAAGACATCTACCTATAACTCCTACATTTGCAGTTCCCAAAAATTACATAGGGGTTCTCTGACTTCTATTTTTTACACTATGATGATATAGCTAAGTGTGCTGTGAATTTGTATCTTAATTACACACACATAATTAGTGTAATCACTTGAAATCAGATTAAATTATGATATGACCTGTAAGGTGCAAAGGTAGACACTTTTGAAACATTAGACTAGTTGGTAATGGAAATAATCCTGTGCGCATTTATTAGCCAATTCACTTTATAAACCCAGTAAATTTGTTTTGATAGGCGTCTGTTTTACATTCCGCCCGCAAACAAACGAAAATCTAAACATTCCTCTTTACACCAGATTTTTTATAAAAAAAAGTATTGTTTGTACTTACATCGATTTAAATATACCTCAATGTTTTTAACTTTTCTAACGGCCGGATGATCACAATCGGTTATTAAAGCTTGCACTGTATCTAATAAACAGTCGATGTTAGCTTTGCTTTTGGGATTTTGAATGCGCTCCTCCAAAAATCGCAATCGCCGCTTGCGATCCTCATCCCTTATCCTTTCCATCGCGAATAAAGCTATGTTTTGTAGAAATGTGCTTGAAAAATTATATATTTCAATACTTCCGATAATCTATGGTCTGGTCATCAGTTGTGAATTCAACCTAAAGAATAAAAATAATCATTACAATGTAATAATCGAGTTTGTTTATAATATGACAAATGGTTGGTTCTAATAAATTTAACTGTTTGTATTTCCTGTTTATTTATTTCGTTAATTTGTGATACTCAAATAAATGATGAAAAGTAGGCGTGAATGATAAATTGAATTTTACTATTTATATTTAAAGGCCACCGTTGATCTTCACTTTAATAATTATTTTGCATTATGTCACACAACAAAATTTGAATGTTTTATGTCAAGTGTCGTCCCAGTTACATATAGATGTATATAAATACCGATACCTTTGTATTTCATAACTTTGGAAGACCCATTTATAATTGTATCATTCTCGACTTACGTTAAACAAATTTAAGGAAACAAAAAGAAAATAATTATTCACTACCTGGCTGCTAGCAGCCATTTTAAAATTTATGAATGAATACTGTGAAGTTGCAGTTTCACAAACATAAAATGAAGGTCATTATATAGGGTGTTCGCATCATAATAAAATTTTAATTCTGATCTTTTCTTTAGAATAACTACACAGACAAAGTTTCGGAACAAAAAATATATACCTAAAATAAAAATAAGAGAAGAAAAATTATCTGTGTTTGGTTTTAGAAAAAATTGAAATTGATTTGTCTTTGTCCTTGAACTTTTTGTAACATATTTACTAGTTTATTGTTGTTCTTCTTTGAAAAATTGCATCATATAGAATGTATGATATCAAAAAGCATACATAAGTGTTTATTTTCATTTAATTTCACCATTTTTTAGAAAATATTAAAAATAAACCACCTTTTAAAGTGATGTACTAACATTGAATTTATAACTATCAGAAGCGCAGGTTAAATGGCAGGATATGTGACTGTTTTCAATAGTTTAAATTACAAGACGTAGATGTCTCTACCATCGAGAAAGATGAATAATAATGTCACTTTTTTACCTTTGTTAATTATTATACAGGAATCTGTAATGAACCCACTATCTCGATTTGTAATTGTTGTATACAGAATTCTAGATACCCAAGAAACGTACTTATCTTATAAGGCATTTATGTGGCACACAGGATGTTGAATGACGTAAGATAAACATTCTTCCTTTCATGAATCGTGACCTTACTTAACATTCCTTAAGGAAGATTGAATTACATTTGAACAGGAAAGCAAAAAATACGCAGGCATCCTTGATCACTGTAACAGAAATTAAATGTATCTACCTATCTATTCTTAATTTTTGTGTGTGTCGGTTAAACCGTTGCCACCGGTTAAACTACCTAGGACAGGGGTCGGCAACCTATTGAAACGGAAGAGCTAAAAATTACAATTTACAAAATTTCCCAATTCTTATTAAAGAGCCACAAATAATTTTTGATTCAATATTATAGTTTTTGGCTATATACAGGGTCCTGCAACAGTCCGTCGGTTTTTCCTACATAGCTGATAGATACCTGGTAAAATATTGGTGGTTGCGGATCTACAGAAATTATTTTTGAATGTACAGGGTGTTACATTCCATTTTTACGATGTCAATTAATAACTGATCTTTTTAAATAGAACATCCTGAATATTTGGTTGTTTCAATGCCGTTTGTTCAAAGTGCTATAACTATTCTTTTTCAAATGGAACTACCACTATTCGCTATTCGCTTTTGTCTTCTCTTAAATGTTTATAAGGGGTGCCCTGTGCTTAAACTCCGCAGTGTTTAGGTTATTCAATATTTTTCACAAAAGTACCTACTCATTAATTAATTAATTACGTGTTTATACATCGGAGTAGGCTGGCTATAATAAAAAAAAACAAAAGAATACCAGAAAGTAAACAAGTGTCAAAAATTAGATAATTATTTGCTGCAAGTATACTTTTGATACAAAATAAGATTAATTAAAAAGGCGAATTTCGAACAAATGAACCAATTTCTTTAGATAAATACGGAGAGCCGCAACTTTATAGGTATCAAAAGAGCCGCAGGTTGCCGACCCCTGATCTAGGATCACACGTCACACCTGGCAATTTTGATACAAAATAAAAAGGTCGTTAACCTCTTTTCTTTTAAATTCTGACGTTTGAAATGTGTTCTCAATGGTTAATCGATAACTTATCGATAATTATCGATTAATAGATAGTCAATCGATAAATTTAAAAAAAATGGTCGACCGGTCAACAAAAAAAGAATTTTTTGCGCATGGGATTTACACAATATTTCTGACTATAATAAGCAAAAATAAATAAAAAGTGCGATTAAGACATCGAAAATATTTGCTTTTACAAAAGTTACAGCGATTTGATTGAAAGCTTTCAGGGGCGAAAATTAAAGCTGGAATCTTTGTTTTCCCTTAAAAAAAAGAAAAATGGAGGGTGATATTTTTCCGCGGTTACTTAGCAAAGAGGAAAAAAAATCCTGGAACAGTTTTAAGGCAATAGTCCATGGTTTCCCGTTCAGTGTTTCCTGGGAAACCATAGAACTGAAAATTATGACGAGCTGACAGGATTTGGTTTTGTATCATGGGGTATAGAATGTCTCTAAAGAATAAAGATGCACAGGTTACATTCTCATTTAGATCAATTTAAGGATAATATGGGTCATGGGAGCTTATTCTGAATAAGGACAACACTTTCTCGAGACAATGGAACTTAGGCACCTTCCCAAGGCCAGGAAGTTGGAAGCATGATGGAAGATCAGATTCAGTTGAACATGACAAAAACAGCGAAACTGTTCCATTTTTAAACATTTAGACTCTAAGATAAACAAATTATAAATGTAGAAACGTTACCATTTAATAAATCATGCCTATGTAAGTAGGATTCTATAGGTTTTTTTTTTTTTTGGTTTTTTGCATTTTTTTCACACAAAAACAAATACATAACCATTTTTTGTTCTAATTCTTATTTGTGGCTATAGAAGCAATAAAAATAAGATATACATATATGTCCCATGCGCAAAAATGCTGTAGACCGGTGTAATTTATCGAAAATGTTAAAGGATTGGTCGATAAACCTATAATTACCGATAATCTATCGATTAATCTCACAACTATAAACTATTAAGATAGATAATTATCGAGAGAATTTTTAACGACATACACTTTTCAATGTTTAGATACCAGTTTACTTCCAACAAAAGCGATGTAAGAGCATTGTTGAGTTGCCATATGATCACAATTCACAACCTACTGCTGTACTCATTTTTGAGGATTATCGTCCACTTGATCACCTTTGATTTCAGACAACTTGAGCATCAAAAGATCCTGTTTTATTTAAATTATCTCTCGCAATATCAATACCAAAAAAACAAAAATGTTAGCGAATGTACGCATGGATGATGTAATATATCGATTGAGAATATATATCGATGAGATTTATGAAAAAGTATCGATAGTTTTCTCTTGATAATTTCCGCTACTTATTTATTAATCGATAAATATCAGAGATAGACAATTTTCGTGGCAATAATAATCGATTATTATCAGCAGCTAACAATCATTATTAATTATTTTCAAAAGTTATCGATAATTATAAAAAGTTATCGATAATTATAAAAAGTTATCGATAATTATCAAACGTTATCGATCATTATCGAAAATTAGCCTTACGATTTATCGATAATTGTCGATTATTATCGAAAGTTAACTATAAGTGATTAAAGTTATCGATAATTATCGATAGTTATCAATTAATGATTAATCGATAATTATCAGACTGAACAGACTTATCGATAAATCGATAACAATTTCATTTATCGCTGAGCTCTAGTAGGTATACGAATTCACGTAAACTGGGACCGATTTATTTGTGCACAATGCTGCATGGTTATAAAAAAAGCTGATTCGAGAAATTTAGTTATCAAATGTGAATGTGGAAATGATGTAGCTGCCTGCTTGCAACGGACAATATTTTGCCTTAAAATTTTTTTTGATCGTTTTTTAATAACAAAATCTCCCGCTTTCAGCAAAAATGTGGAACCTGCCTATTTTACTGCCTGTGAATAGAATGTATGAAATTGCATTCCTTCAAGGACAAGGACTGCAAGCTTCGTTCGTCTAAATGTTATTTACATTACAAATTTACGCAATGCTTCTTAAGGGATCTATTTTTAGAACATTCCAATCCTATTTATAAAACCATTCCAATGATAACACAAAAAACATCCGGAGTTCCTGACATCTGACGATTAAAAAGGAAAATATTCGAATGGTTTGTAATGCTGCCATCTAATGTCAATGTAACGCTCCACTTTCGATCGCCCACGGACTTTCAAACGATCGAACTGCTCCTAGCGGCGGCCAGTTGGCACATGGTCACAAACTGTTATATGGGATCCGCGCTTCTGATAGTTATAAATTCAATGGTATTACTGTCTGGTCTACATGGTTCGGAACACGGGTTTTTCTTAAAATTTTATATCATTGCGATGGTTCAATGAATATACTTCAATATGTATATACAAACAACAATTTAGCCACAAAAATGATTGATAGTTGTTCTAGATAAGAAAAACATGGATTACAATCGTAATCCACGCGACCAACACCAACGGGATGTGAGTAAATTAAGCGCGACTGACGAAGAAATTCTGCAAAATGAAAAATATGGAACAACATTTTAACACAAAACTCTGCACTATGGTACGATCTCAAGTTATCAAATTGGTGCTCTGTGTAATTTCAAATGGGCTACTAACAAACCTGATAATTCAATATTCACTTTTTTTAATAGTAATGCCATAAACAAATGGGACATACTGTATGATTATAACATGGTTTCTTACATGGGAACAGGTTGGCAATGGATATGTTTCAACGGATCAACCTAACCTAATATTGTTGCATAGTTTGTTTTTTTTAATGTTTTTTCTTTATTAATGCAAATAAGGAACTATTTTTAAAATAATTGTAAACTCAGACTTTTAAGATATTCCAAAAACGTATGTGAATGAAAATTGATCTGTAAGAAAGATGTATCAAGCGTACTTTGCGTTACCCGCCAATTATCAAACACGTGTATAACCTACGGTTGAAGTTCAAGTGTAGTCTGAAGTTATGGATTCCAAATTTAACTTATTATTTAAACACTCAAATAATGTACAACCATTCCAAATGAAGCGCAAACCATCCCCTGTGGTTTTTAACAACGGTTCCCCGCCCCGTAAGAGACTTGCATTAAATATAAACGTTAACTCGAACAACTTTGTGTCTAAGAACAAATTATCGATACAAGAACAGCGACGAAAGTTACCCATATTCGAAAAGCGAAATAAGCTATTGGAACTTATACGGAGGCATAACACATTAATTATATTGGGTGAAACTGGAAGCGGCAAAACGACACAAATTCCGCAGTACATTAATTCGGCCCGTCTCCAAAACAATGGCAAGATTGCAATCACGCAACCGAGAAGAGTGGCAGCTATTAGCGTTGCTATGAGAGTGGCACAAGAAATAGGCGATTCGGTAAAATATTGAGTTCTTTTTTGTGCTTGTTTTAGCTGATTTTGTAGGGTGGTGTAGGCGAGACTGTCGGTTATACTGTTCGATTCGAGGATGTGACTTCGCCTAGAACGAAGATAAAATATTTGACAGATGGAATGTTACTTCGCGAAGCAATGGTCGACAATCTGCTGATGGAATATACATTTGTAATATTGGATGAAGCTCACGAACGTACAATTCATACTGATGTTTTGTTTGGTATCGTTAAGCAGGCTCAAAAAGCCAGGGCGGAGAAAAAATTACGACCCTTGAAGGTAACTGCATGTAACTTTTTTAAATAGTTTAAAAATGCTTTTAGATACTGATTATGTCTGCTACCATGGATGTTGATCACTTCTCCGAGTATTTTAATAACTGTCAAGCGGTTTATCTGGAAGGCCGAACATACCCTGTTAATGTTTATTACACTTTAACTTCACATGAGGATTACCAAACGGCATGTGTAGCAACATTTTTCAAAATACATCGGCAAGCACCATGGGAGTAAGTTAAATTCTGTCTGGTTTTTCGAATTCAGCGCTTCTGCTAACGTTACCCATTATATGCTTTCAAAATGGTTATGCCTCAATCTACATTTAAAACAGCAACATGTTAATCCAGTTTGAAACAATAATTAAAAACAGAACACTCACTGCAGTCCATAATAAAAGAGACAAGTTATGCAGCCCTAGCAAATACTAGAAGAATCATTTGGCTGGCTAGTTTTAGCGTATTATACAGGGTGGCAATTTGAAAACCTACCACCTCCCATGTCTTAGTAAATAAACGAGATATTTAAAAAAATCAAAATCCATTTCGGTAATTCGGAGGGGGAATCACAATGGCATAGTTGGCGACGCACCCCTTCCAACCCCCTGCGCCCCAGTCACCCCAACTTTTAAATTTTAAATAGTGACCCCCCATGTGTGATACATCGTTGGAAAGCCCTGAAAAAACGCTTTCCAACCATACCAAATAGCATTACATTTAGGTTAGTAATTATCGTGCCCATCAAAGAATAAACTAATATGATACATTTTCTAAAGTTGGCTTTTATTTCAATAAATGTTCAAAATGGTTTCCGTTATTGGTAAGACGCTTGTCGAACCTTTTCAAATATTGATTTTGCAATATTCCACATTCTTGAATTATTCTCTGTCTTAGTTCCTCTATGTTCGCCGGTTGCGTTTTAAATACGACAGATTTCAAATGTATCATATTAGTTTATTTTTTGATTTTCGCAATAAATACTAACCTAAATGTAATGCTATTTGGTATGGTTGGAAAGCATTTTTTCGGAGCTTTCCAACAACGTATCACACATGGGGTGTCACTATTTAAGATTTAAAAGTTGGGGAGGCGCAGGGGGTTGGAGGGAGTGCGTCGCCAACTATGTCATTGTGATTCCCCCTCCGAATTACCGAAACGGATTTTGATTTTTTAAAATGAAATGGATATTGGATATTGGAAATACATAATGTATTTTACCAAGGTTTGACGATGGACTAAAGTTTCCGAAATCGATAACCTATTAGCAAAAATTGTAATTATAAGATCACAGCGACATGCAATTGTTTTATTAAGGCAAATAAGTATCAGTCTACACTTAACATTTAATTGATTATACCTATGGAGATATAATTATAATAGACACCACAACCATATTCCAATTGAGGATATAATAAGGTCCCACAAGCCAGCAGAGCCATTTTAGAAAAATGAAGGACGAAATACATCAGAATTATAGGCTGATTATAGGCCCTTTTTGGACACTTGAACAAATTTTCAGGCGGCATTCTTTAAAGAAAAAAACTATGGCTCTGCTGGCTAAAGACGAAGCTAGCTGACCACTTGTGAGATTTGCTTCGAAGGCGAAAAATTCAGATCACAAAATTATAGGCTATTTATAGGATTTTTTTAGACACTACAACAAATTTTCAGGCGGCATCCTTTAAACAAAAAAACTATGATTTTGCTGGCTAAAGAAGAAGCTAGCTGACCACATTTGCGATTTGCTTCAAAGACGAAAAATTCAGATCACAAAATTATAAGCTATTTACAGGCTTTTTTTAGACACTACAACAAATTTTCAGGCGGCATCCTTTAAACAAAAAAAACTATCATCCAGATCAGTTTGATTTTGCCCCTCTCGGAGATGTAGTGGATAAATAAAAATTATTTATTTATTGTCCCTCCTTGTTCTGGGCCCCCAACGGGCTTTTGCCCAATTAATATATTTATTTAAACTCTAACTTATATTTCAAAAATCCGATACAACTGAATACCTGACAATCCTCGAGATCTTCACACATACATCATTTTTACAATACACCCTAAGCCTAAGGGATTGATTCTGTCCCACCTGATCACCATAGCTTGTAACACCAATTTTTTGAAATGGCATTAGTTTTACTTTTATTTGAGGTGCCTGCATACAACATTTCATTTAAATACCTTAACAAATAAAAGAAAACCGACTGCGCATGCGCAAAACAAATTTTTTGATTTGGCATTAGTTTCACTTTTATTGGAGGTCCCTAGATACAGAATTTCATTTAAATATATTAACAAATAAAAAATTAGGATTGCGCAAATACAAAAGTTGTTATACGCATGCGCAGTATTTGTTTGCATCTGCATAGTTGCCTGAAGTTTAAGGAATATTTACTAACACAGAAAACCGGACATTCATATGTTCTTTGTAACAAGAGTTAGAAACCCTTTTTGGAGGTTTGCGCAGTTTTTGGTCTGTAACTATTTGGCCCATTGGTCTACGTAGCCGAAAAACAATTGTGAACTTTGTTATATCCTGAAGAACATGTGTATATCAATTTTTAAAGCGATCGGACGTTTCTACACAAAGTTATCGTGCACACTGACAGACAGACGCACAGGCAGGGAGCAATACAAAATTATAAACGATCTCGAGGTTCGTTAATAATATAATGAGACAAATAATTTTAATTTTTTTTTGTACTTCTTTCCAATTCAGGAATATCGTTTCAACTTTTCTTCTCCTATAATACAAGAGAAGATGCATAGACAACTCAGACACTTTTAACATTACTTTTTTTAAAACCTGAAACACAACAACTTGCTATATATTTGATTTATTAGTAAAAGAAAATTCAAATTTCAAATACCTACTTGACAGATGTCTCCAAACAGGTGGAACAATCCCTAACATTAAAGTTACTAGAATCTGGTAACTTCCGCAGTTTTTGGGCAAAAAACATGCGTTCTCTCTCTAACACACGGGCCCAATGGATTGCGGTACTTTCTATATTTAGTGACATAATGGATCTACAGTGACTGTATACCTACTGTATAGAGGCAGTTTGGCCATACTTTGGTGTTGTTTTTTTATTGGTAGGTGGGATATCCGCCATATTTTAACCAAATAAATCGGGTTGGCGGAAATTAACTTGGAATCCAATGTGATCAAGTCACATACAGTTGTGGCAATAATATTGTAACCATAGAAAAATGCCAAGATCTACCAATTCAATTAAACCGATCAGCTTAATGAAGAATATGGGAAAAACATGGCGGATATAGAGCATATGACCACACTGTCTTTATACAGTCACTGTTAATGGATCAATATTAATTACAAGGCAAAAATTTTGCGCATGCGCATAGCGTATCGCACATGTGATCAGCTAGCTTCTTCTTTAGCCAGCAAAATCATAGTTTTTTTGTTTAAAGGATGCCGCCTGAAAATTTGTTGTAGTGTCTAGAAAAAGTCTATAAATAGCCTATAATTTTGTGATCTGAATTTTTCGCCTTCGAAGCAAATCTCACAAGTGGTCAGTTAGCTTCGTCTTTAGCCAGCAGAGCCATAGTTTTTTTCTTTAAAGGATGTCGCCTGAAAATTTGTTCAAGTGTCCAAAAAGGGCCTATAATCAGCCTATAATTCGGATGTATTTCGTCCTTCATTTTTCTAAAATGGCTCTGCTGGCTTGTGGGAACTGATATAATAGGCCTTTTATCAAAGTCAACTTAACGCTGGTAGGTAGAATAGGTCTTAAATAGTTCATTGATTTCAGCTTCAGAAATGAAATGCTATAAAGCTTATTAATGTGTAGTTGAAAGCTGAAATTCTAGTCAAACAATATGCCTATAGGTTTTTGGCTTCATTGACCCATTTAATAGCACTATCGTTAATTAATAATAATTGGTTGTTTAAATTACTTTTGTTGCGATAATAATCACTGCAGATACACATTTCAACGGTTTTATCCGGATTCAACCGCAGGTTGTTTTTTTGACACCACTTGTTAACTCTGTCTAAATCACTGTTGACTTATCCGGGACCTTACCAAATTTGGTTATAGAGAAATACAATTGCAAATCATCGTTATACAAGTGGTATCTGCAATGTGAAATACTACTCGGGAGGTCGGCAATATACATAGAAAATAAAATAGGTCCCAAAATACTCCCCTGTGGAACCCTGGATAATATTGTTCTCGTCGTGGAAGAAGTGTTACCAATCATTCCTGACTGATCTGTTAGTAATGTAACTTTCTAACCATTTGATAGCTAGCATCAAAACCAACATTTAGCTAGTAATAAACGTTGGTTTATAATATCAAAGGCCGTACTTTGGTCAAGTAATACTAATATTGTAACTTGAGACGTATCTGGAACAGAGTAAATATCGTTTGTAACTGCTAAGAGCTCTGTCTGTGTGGTGTGAAATTTTTGGAGCCTGATTCAAATTGTGGCAATAAACTATTGCTCTCTAAATACTCTGTTATTTGTTCACCAATAAACTTCTCAATAATTTTTCTTTTAGACAATAAAGTTAATGGAATTGCATTGTATGATTCATATAATTAAGTCACCATCATCGAATATAATAAATAAATAATAATCCCATCGTAGCATAATTTTAAAATGTGAAGCCATCTGTACAATGTGATTTGTTAAAAAAGTATGCACGCACGTCATTGGTGTATTACATCTGAATTAGATATGTTTACATAGTATCTGCAATCGATAGAACAGAATGTAGGAAACCATACGAACAGTGCTACATTGTGGATCGTTGGTGAAATGAGTATACTACCACAATGTAGCACTGTTCATATGGTTTCCTACATACTTATTCTACTCCATCGATTGCAGATACAGTGGAAGCATACCTAATTCAGATGTAATATACCGATGACGTGCGCGCAAATTTAGGAAGATCCTACGTATACAATGCTGTTACTTTCAATTCTTTAAAGGCACGCGCAAACCAAATTTTTTATTGTGTTGCAATCAAAATTTGTCGAAATCAAATGAAAAGATGAATGCGTCTGCGCAAACACAACCAAACATAATTAATGAATTTACTTAACATCCTTGTGCGCATGTGTTTAATGATAATAATAATATGCTTTTATTGGCAAATGGAATTCATGTCAACTAACAAAATTAATACATCCAATACAAACTAATTGTTATGTATGTGCATGGTGTGTTGGGTTGGTAGGGAAATAGCCGCTGAAATTTTACTGACTTAGAAATAAACGCAGTAAAAAAAATTGTTAGTGTATATAGCTTTTTAGGTATATAGAAGAAAAGTAAATGTTTAGAGAAAAATTGTATTATTCTTTATCTTTTTATGCCAAAATTTACATTTTTAATTTGATAGTACCTACTGCTAGCAAAAACGGACTAACGCATTTTAGTGTTTATTTTTTAACGTGTTGTTTTTGCAGTCACGATGTGTTAATCTTTTTAACTGGACAAGAAGAAATTGAAGCAGTGGCGCAACAGATCAGAATTTTGTCAAGAGATCCAGACGTAAGTGGACCGTCAGTTAAAGTTTGTCCATTGTACGCATCACAACCAACCACGCAACAAATAACTGTATTTCAACCTGCACCTGAAAACACAAGAAAGGTCGTTATCGCGACCAATGTTGCCGAAACAAGTATTACAATAAGTGGAATTCGTTTCGTTATTGACGGAGGGATGGTTAAAGCTAGGTAATTAATTATTACTTTGCATTGTGATCATTTTGTCATTTCTGAGTGTTAAATCTGTATTTCAGTTTCCCTGTCTGTGTTTTGGTTTCACTGCCAAAATCAAACAAAGCTATCACAATCCTACTATAATTTTGGTTGTGTGATCTGATCCAGTCGTAATTCTAAAAACGATAGCTGTTTAAAATGTTTGGTAGAAAAATTTGTTGTCTTTGCTCCTTGTATTAAGGTTACAGTTCAAAACATAAAAATTCAATTGGCACATCATTTTTTTTACCAGCCGCACGTTTGGGGTTGAAAATGACCCCCCACTTTTTTACGGAATAGTTATTTGTGTACCAAGGCCGTAAAAGTGATCTTTTTTGGCCGAAGCTGCTGTTTGTGGCCGAGGCGGTAGCCGAGGCCGCAATTCAGATGAGGCCTAACAAATCACTTTTGGCCATGCACAGGTGCACACAACATTTTTTAGGCGATCATCAAAAAAGAATTCAAAAATTTGCTCATAAACATATTTTTTCTGAAAATCATAGTTATCTTAGACAATTAAAAACAAAGCAATTCCTGTCATATGTAATAAATTATAATTAGCATCTTTGCGTGTGTTTTGTGCGTATCAAAATGGGTGAAAGCGACAGTTCAGGATGAAATTTTGGAAGCTGCAAGCTTGCGAACCTAAGCCATATATGATATAAGAGCTGGCGTTTGAGAGTAAAAGTACAATCGCAACTTCCTCCATTGCACAAGATTTTAATAATGTCAAATGCAATAGGTCCTTCGTAACTGTGGCTTCCAAGACCTTATAGTTAACATGCTGTACAATTATTAGAAACCTGATTACCTACTTTGATGGCAGGTATAGGTAGCTACTTGTGTTCTCGGTTAATTGCTGGTGATTCTTCGCATAATAATGTAAGCAATAACATCTTCCTCATGTTTTGGTTCTACACTTCAAAAAGGTCTGCAAGCAGCAAAGATTGAAACGTCAAACTATAATTTTAAATGTGAACGTTGTGATTATGCAAAATAGTGTGAAACATTCCTACAAGTCCGAAAATGAAAAAAACGCACGTGGATGGCCCAATCCTTGATGGGGCTAGACCAGATAGACGCTTTGTATTAAACAGATTACTGTTTCTCACACATCAGTTTCAAATAAGTAGGTACAGTTTGACAGATGTGTACAATAAAGTAAAGTTTGACAGAAGCGTACAATAAAGTTAAACTTTATGGCCGCAAAAGCGTCCACAAAATCAACGTTTTTGTGATGATAGCCTAAAAATATATATTTTGAAACAACAGAAATCCGCTCATGATTCGATTGGAACCAAATTTGGTACACATATTCGGAGACAAAAGGTAGACCTGAAAAGCTTTTGGGCAGAATCGCACATGCGCAAGTGTGTCAAGTATGGTAAAGGATACCCAGAAACCTCAAATAAGTTCTCCTTGTCAGATTTGTTGTACATGCTATAGGTATTAGTGAAATAGGTGGGCTTCTTTCACATTAAATGTGCAACAATATTTTAGTTCTAGATAACCAATTGAAAACGAAAACCTAATTTGATACTCTTTTTGTCCATTTTTTTCAGGACGTATCACCCGGCGACCGGTCTCGACATGTTAAAAGTTCAAAGAATTTCTCAAGAGCAATCCTGGCAAAGAACGGGACGTGCGGGTCGTGAAACGGAAGGTTACTGCTATCGCATATACACGCGCGCTCAATATGAACTCCTGCAGAAAAGTACAATTCCCGAAATTCAAAGAGCAAATTTATCGACGGTCGTTATACAACTGCTCGCTTTAGGAATCCACGCTGCCAATTTCGACTTCATGGATAAACCGCCGAAGGATTGCGTGCTAGCCGCCTTTGAGCAGCTGAAACTTCTTGGAGCGGTGGAAAGTGTTGAGAGTAGTAGTTTAACACCGCTCGGTAAGAAAATGGTTCAGTTTCCGTTGGATCCGAGGTTTAGTAAGATTATACTGTCCGCCCAAGAGTATGAATGTTTAGAAGAAATTTTAACAATTGTGGCCTTATTGAGTGGAGAAGCGATATTTTTAAATCCCTCCTCTAAGCGCGAACAAGCAACGACTTCTAGGCAAAAATTTTTGTCACCGTATGGAGATCATATAACATTATTGAATGCATTTCGTGTGTATCGTAACCTCGGTTCGAATAGTCAACGTTCTTGGTGCCATGAACATTATATAAATATGCGAAATATATCTTATGCAGCTCAGGTGCGAACACAACTATTGGAAGTGTGTCAAAGACTCAAATTACCGGTTGTGTCTTGTGGTAATGATGTGGAACCAATTAGAAAATGCCTACTAACAGGTTTGTTTATGAATGTTGCAGAATTACACAAGGAGAAACAGTACATAACAGTAAGTTGAACTACGTATAGTAAACATGCACTAACTACAAATTTTATTTTACAGTTAGATAAGAGACAGGTGGTAAACATACATCCTAGTTCAGTAATACATGGACAACAACCGAAGTTTGTATTATTTACAGAAGTTGTTCAAACTAGTAAATGTTACCTGAGGGGATTAACAACAGTTGAAAGTCAGTGGTTGTACGATATTGTTCCTGACTATGCCAGGTCACATATTAGGCTAAATAAAGACTTATAATACGCGCTGTGCTCATGACTTAGGTGCAAGTAAGTTCATTCCGAGGGTGAATTTAATTAAATTAGATTATGTTTATGCAGTATCTAGTCATTCGGATATTCTTAAGTTTATAATGTAAATTATCTTAAATTCCCTTTAGATTTAAATTTATAAATAAATTTTTCGTAATTTTTATGGTTTGAGAAGTATGACGCTTGGTATGGAGTTATTTATACTGGGTTATTATGTCGAAGTTGTAAATATCTTTTTTTAGTTGTAATTGTTGAAATAGAAGAAATATAAAAGATTTAAAGCACTGTACTTAATGTTTATTTCTTTCTTCTCAGGTTTGTCAATTGAGGGTTGATTTAAAATAATTTTGAATGCTTAAATTAGGGAGGAAATAGATAGCCAAAACCATATTTGGGTTGTACAATGGGTTCGAATAAACAATTAATTGACAATGAGACAAATTTATTCAGAAACAATGAACAAAATCTTTGCAAGAAAGAAAAGTGTACAAACCTTGTTTGGACATATCTCACACGCAGACAAGTCAACAAATAAAATAAGTTCTTAAAATTACAGTTTTTTCTTAATATGCAAAATCTGGTCGTACAATATTTGCGCTAATACGCGTACTTAACACACAAACACTAATAGCTTCTGGAAACTTCACTTGTTCTTGATAACACTGCACTTTTGATGACAATATCTTTGTTGAATGTCAACTCATGACCAGTTTATAATAACCGTGCGGATCGTAGAAACTTTAATAAGAATAGAACCTTGACAAAAAAACCTCACTACACTACACTGGTTCCTTTTTCAACTCAATACACGTTAAACTTCTCACACAACTTGGTTCTGCACAATTTTATTATATAAGAAATGAGGGGGCTGGCTGCCCGTAGTTTAGTGTACACAAAATGTAATCACACGCTGTTTTACCATCGCGAAAATTAGCAGCAACCTCGAAGCTGCACCACTTGCACCATAAAATAAACTCCCTTAAAAATTTCAAGTAAGTCGCCAATCAACAACGGAACGCGGCAAACGTCCCCACCTCTCCAAGATGAAACGTAATTCTTCGGAAAATTTGCATCTCCTATCAGTACCAGAACACGTACGTTAATTCAATTTCGCCTGATAATAAAACTCCTTAGGCTTACCACAAACGATCAGATGTAACCTTACTTCTAACACCATATCTAATTTGAATATATGTAATTTACAAAACCGATAAAATTGCACTTCTAACACTTTCTAGGAGGAAAAACAAACACTGAAATACAAATTCAAATAAAACAAACCAATAACTCTGTGCTTATTCGTCAATATCCCATCAGGTTTGCTGAATAATTTAAAATATTCTGATATCAAGGGGTGCCGTTATTACTTTTGGTGTTTAGACCGTAATGTTTACAGTTTAAACAACTATCAGCAATTGTGTTAGCAAGCTCATAAATGTTTCATTTGTTCTTGTGGTGGAGGAAGGAAAGTGGAAGTGAAAAGTAAAACATACACAGAGTACCTATACCTACTTGGGAAAGTTACATCTGGGGGTTTCTCATCTAAAAGCATTAATCCGGTCAATAAATTTGCTTGGGTTACCACTGTTGTGGGATTTTTCGAAAATTTTAACAGAAGGCGGTACTTATAAAACTAAATTGAGTGTCTTGCATACGGGAGTTCAAGATCGACTGTGTACCATCTAGAGCTCAGTTCAATTCAATGCCAAAACGTAAACACGAAACTTGCTCTACTTTAGCGATCATTTTGGATCAAAAAAACTCAAAATTTGGTTGAGGTTAGATGTATTGATAGAGAAAAATTAAATTCGCTGTTGGAAACCATGGTTAACCTTTTGGGTCATTTTTTATTACGTGAATAGAGATAGATAATAATAAATTATTTGATATTTTCTACAGATCCTATCTAAATGGCAGAGTTCAGACAGGGACAGCATCTGTGTCTGCTCTTGCACTCGACCCATGCGCATGCGCAGACCCAACTTTCTTATTTATGAGCGCTTTTTTCTTGAACTAAGGAAAAGTGCTTCCTAAAAAATTAATCATACATAAAAAAAATACACTGCTACACAGACCAAAAGGCACAATATGACTAGCATTTCCAAAGTTTTTATTTTTCACTATTTAGTTTTATGAACTGCTGTTGATGCCATTACCGGAAAATTAAAGAATTATTCAACCAGTTCAACGGAACTTATGTTACATCAATGTGGTATACCTACAATCTGGCCATCTTACAAACAAAAACAAGTCTTCCCATACGTCTAAATGAATTACAAAAACTAAATGAAAAACAAATTTTATTACAAACTTAAACCAATAAAACAAACTACACCTATACCTAAAATTAATTGCTTATGTCAGTAATATTTTATTTGATCGGTACTTTTGAATCACAGCTATGAAGTTATTTAAACGTTTTGCATGAAAAAGTTGAGCATGGTTAAGATTAGCATTTATTTTCTTTTGTTTCCTCCACCGGCAAGAATTGTTGCTAAACGAATGAATATATTCAGTGTGTCCAGGTAGACAGACATGGCTCTAAAAAAAAGTTGCTAGTGATACTTAATCATTCGAAATGACTGATGAACTCTCCCAGTCTGCATTTAACATCATTTCTACTTACGCATTAACTGGATCATAGGGAGTTACACCATAGAATCCTGGAGTGGTAGGGTATCTTTCTGCTTGTGCTATAATTCGTTGCGTATCATACAGCATGAAAGCCGAAAAGAGAAGAAGACCACCATATAACGAAATGGAATATAACCCAGCTCCTAACGCTGTCGTAGGGGGTAAGAACATTGAGCCGACCGACGAAACGAAGACAACGCCGAGACCCATTGCTAATGGGCCTCCCATTGTCAAAAACTTTTCACTTGGGGCACATACAGCAATTGTACTAAGCCCTCCAACAATGCCTGCAGTGTACCACGCAGCTCTAATTAAAATTGGCCCTCCGAGAAAACAAAGTGGAGCAACCATGGCTCCCATCGTTGCAGTATGCGCTAACCAAGCAATTTGTTTTGCACCAAAACCTTCTTTGTAGGGAATACTTCGAGCTATCATTCCAGTGCCCATTATAGCACCTAAACTGATGGCTAAACCCTGTAAAATGTCGGTTAGGGATGTCTGATGAGGAAAATTCTGTCATGTTAACTCACCAAGAATCCATTCTTTGTAACAATATTCATTATGGCAGGGGAACGAAAAGCTGCCATAGCGCTGGTAGCGGTAACAACTAGAGAGCCTCCGAAATACATATATGTGTCCTTAATACGCTCCTTCACATATTGAGGCCATACTCTGTTAGACATGAACGAATAAACTTTAAAATAATGAAATATAATGTAACTTACACAGATTTCTCCAAAGAACCAGCTTCATCTGATAACCCTAACCCATAATAACCTAATGCTCCAATACCAAGTAGCGCTCCACCAGCAGCAGCTCCTTTTCCAATACTGAATGCTAATAAATCTTAAGTTAGAAACAAATACAATACATCGGCATGTATACCTCCATCCCCAGCTGGGGCCATAATTTTCTCTCGAAGAGTACGTGTTCGAGCTCGACGCACAGTTTGACGAGCATCTTCTGCAAAAGTACGCCTGAAGGCATATTGGGGAAGCTTACGAAAGGCGACAGTTCTTACGTTCGTTGAACAACACAATTTGGATAACAACATTGCTTCACTACAAGTTCGGGATTAAGGTAATGTTATGATGAAATTTTGTGCAATAATAAATTCCAAAAGGTTAGGTACTTACACTTCTTAAAACGTACGGTAACTTGTTAAAAATGACTTGTACAGATTTTTTTGGTAGTTTTCAAATTTTATTACGAATATTTTGACAAGGTAATACTTGGATTATTTCCGAGATGGAAAGCCTACAACCCTGACCTTGGCACTGACAAAACAATATAGAGTGTAGTGAAGCTAGCAGCGAAAAGGTAACAGCGAAACGAATTTGTCATATGGCAACAACGTACCCACTCAGATGTGTTGCACATTGACTCCCTCGGTACTGCGCAACCGCAAGCACGCTAGAATTTGAATTTGCATATATATAACTGTCTAAGTTTAAGGGGTAAATCTCAGAGTAAGAAATAAAGATAGAGATGCCTTGATGCTTATCTATGCGTGCCATCATCTCGTTTGTTTACTAACATTGCAAGAGGCTAAGTTGTCACATTTCACGAGATAGTTTTTAAGGGAATATTAATAATATATGCATCTCGAGTAATCTAATAGTTATTTACCTAACAAGTTCGGTAAGTTAATTTTCCCGCATGAGCACTTTGTTTGCAGCACGACCGTAGGGAGTGCTGCATTTAGTGCGAATGCGGGAAAATTCTTTCCGAAAGAGTTAGGTACAATATTTTTTGTAACGAATTGCGTAAAAAAAAGGTCAAAATTAATAGTTTTGTAATTAGTTTTTTTTAAATCATGAGTTGGTAACACAATCATATGTTTGGTTGGTAACATAATTTTGTAACTACCATTGCACTGGTCACATTTAAAACTTCCACATCTTTGGTTAATACATATTTTGCCTTTGCAATGAGTGCTACTACTGGTCACGGCATTGCATCGTTTGCACTGAATATCCTTGGAAGTCTTCAATGTTAACAAATATGCTTTGAAAAGAGTGCTCTTATTGGTCGCCTAAGTGTACTGATCGTATTTAATATTCCCAGAAGACATGTGTTCTCAAATTTGATTTATCTTGAGTTGCGTAAATACACTCGTTACATTTAAAATCCTTGGAAGCTTTGTGTGTGTTAATATGTGCTTTCTTAAACTGCATATGCGAATAGTTGGAGAATATCACTGGTCACATTTTAAGACGTTTTAACAATAAATTTTACTTTTTCTTGAGTTCCAATTCTGAAAAATAATTTGATTGCGTTATAAGTTCTTGTTTATATATTTACGTAAAACTTAGTGTACGTCTGAGATGAGTACAAAAATGGATTTTTAGATGCTTATAAGAGTTCAGTAACCCAAACAATTTTAACTTACAATTAAACGGCGTAACAAGAAAAGTTATGGTGATTAGTGCAACACAACGGCAACGCTGTAACTTTGTTTTCCGTTGAGAGGTATTTTGTTTATTTTGTTAAAACGTGATTCCTTAATTTTTAGGCGTTTTTATAGTGGAGGACTTATTCGATTGTGGTGTATTAATTTATGGGTGCCCTTTGAAATGGGGAAAAGCTGTATTATTTGTGGAATTATTGAATTACCTAACATAACCTTTCATCCGTATGTGTTTTGAAGTCATAGACGTGCATACGGGAATTTTCGCATTTTAATGTGTTTAGATTTCCTTCTAAGTTTCCACTTTGAAGTATCACCATACCTTATCATAGATCAATAGGGACCTTTCAAACACATACAGCTTTTGGTCATAATTATTTAGTGATACGTTATTACGTTTGCACATGTAAACAAAACATAAACTTTGTTGCCCATAAAAATAAATAAACCTTACGCCACTGACTAATGTTTACTTTCTACCTCTCAACGGTCAAATTGACTGATAGCGTTTTCGATTGGCAAAACTCGTGCTGCACGAGTGCAATTTTTACATTCTATTGGTAATTTTAGGGCAATTTTCTTTGTTCCATTGGCAAATGTGATGCAACAATTACGCACTCAGTGCAAATTTCGACGCACGAGGTCCGAGAGCTCGTGGAGCTGCTAGCATTGAATTTATAACTATCATAAATTCAATGCTGCTAGTTAACAAATTTTCAAAACAAGCGTGCGGCAATTTGAATTTGTTTCTTGCGTTGGGAGAGTTTTTTGTCGTCATCTAGCGATAGCGAAGATGATGAACTAGCCATAACTTCTATTTTACAAAAAGTTGCACTTACTCATTAAACTGAACACCAAAAATTGGTCCTTTACAGGAATTTCAAATTTATATTCCTCATCGTTTATCATAAATAATACTGAAATCGTTTGTCATTTTTTAGAATAGAGATTTGTCGATTACCTAAATCTAAAATGAGGTTAAGGACAAATGACAACAAATATTTACGAATATTTATGTTCCATTGAGAGCAATTTTCACATGGATTTCTTCAGTTTCTCGTGCAACACTCGTGCAGTACGAGTTTTGCCAATCGAAAACGCTATGAGATGTTGGTTCAAAACAAACGTTCACGTTGTTATAGCGTACGCGTACTCTATCTTTTATTTCTTACTCTGAGGGGTAAATAATAAACATAACCTGCAAAAGTTATAATTGAAGATAATTTAGCTTACCTGCTTACCATTGGCGGAACAACGTAGCCACGGGCCTGTGTGCGAATTTTTTTGCTGAGCCCCTATTATGATACGACTTATTGATAACAATATTAATTTAGGTATGAATTTTGGCTACAAAAAAAACCATTTGATAAGTATTTATGTTCCCAGGTATGTTCCTGAATCTGAAGCCGGGCTCAGACGACTCGTGTACTTGGCGAATAATCGTTACTTTCGTATACTTGGCATGTCGTGTGAGTGGGTTACTTGTACAATTAATTGTCACTCGTTAGTTTTCCATTTCTTGTCGGTAAAATTGGTCCGAGTCAAAGGGATCACGATTATTCGCACACTTGCCAAGTACATACTTATCTATACTTGTAGAGGCGCTCAAACGGAATGCACAAATAATTTGCCTTTAGTGCGATTATTAATTTAGTTTTCAGTTAAAGACGGAAGCGTACAGACGTTTTTTTTTTTTTTTTCTTTTTTTATTGAAATGGAGTGGACAAATGAGATTGTGTTGGAATTTCTTGTTTTTTATGAAAATGAGCCGGTCATTTGGATGGCTAAACACAAAGACTCAACACAACAAAAGCCGCGGAAGCAACAACTAAATTCTCTGGACGACCGCTATCCATAATGGCAGTCACGTCACTGTCTAGTCATTCATTTGTACAAAGTATACAAATGTTCGCCCCAAATATTCGCCCTCGCGTACTTGTACAATGTACACGTCGTGTGAGTGCCCTGCTTGCCATCGCAACTCGCCAAGCTCGTATACTTCCCAAGTACGCAAATAATTGTGTATTCGCCAAGTACACGAGTCGTCTGAGCCTGGCTTGAACATAAAATACGAGGAAAAATATGTGGTAATCAGTCAGAGCGCGGATTAAACGTTTACGCTTATCATTTCCCCACGATTTAGAAAATTGAATCTTACTTTCTCAGTTAACTTTTACTATTCAGAAAGTCATTCGTTCGGTTATAGTGTTATCTCATGACTAATGACAATTTATAGCTAATGTTTTGTACCCTTGAAGTTATTTATGCTGCGTATTTTAGTACAAAAAAATTAAATTTAGTACATTTTCTTGACATTTCATTTTCAGTACCTAGAATTTAAACAAGTATAAATGGTGCACAACTCTTGTGATGCATACTTATAAAGCGCATTTTTTTAACCGAAATAGCTTTTGTTTTGACATCACCAATGGATATATTTCTTGCAGAACTTTCAATAGCCCTTTGTGAGTACCCTCTTCCGACAATCCGTTCTTGAGGTATACGAATATACCCGATCACGATAAGAAGTCGAGGAGGAGGGCTATGGTTGGTAGAAATTAATTCCTTTCGTTGAGACCTTTCATTAGAGTACCATGAAGGGTAAAACTAGTCCCTCCCCCTCTAGCTCGTACTTTGATAAGAGGACAGAAAGAAGGGCAGCAGTTAGTAGAAAACGGTTCCTTTCGTTGAGACCTTTCATTAGAGTACCATGAAGGATAAAACTAGTTCCACTCCCCCTCCATCCCATACTTTGATAAGAGGACAGAAAGAAGGGCAGTACTTGGTAGAAAACGGCCCCTTTCGTTGAGACCTTTAATTAGAATACAATGAGAGATCAAATTAATTTTTTTTTAATCTTAAAAATGCGCTAAAAATTACTCAATCGCTGGCTGCAGTCTGCAGTTGGTCTCTCGCCGTGCTACAGATGTCGCAAAAGGTTCCATTTACCGTGTTCCGTCTTTCCGTGAACAGTGTATTAATTTCCGAATATGACAATCCTGGGTCCCGAGCCCCTTTTTAGCCCGGGCTCGTGTACTTCGCACACATTGAACACCGGTAGTTCCGCCACTGCTGCTTACCTGTTGTAAGTCACTGACATGGGTCTGCTGTGGTACGATCACCGACAAAAATAATGCTAAAATGAAGCTTACTGGCACTTAGGCAACCAACACTACACTATCTAAAATGGCAATTGTGAAAGATAAGTTATCCGACGGGGAAACGTATGGGATGGGCCGCGCACGGCGTCGCGCATTGTCACCTTTGTTTCGGCGTTTCTTCGTCACTGCCTTGATATAAACGCTACAGCAGGTATATAATTACAAGAATTGGCAAAACCGGACTTTATGCATTATATCTCGATAAATTTAAGAGACATTAATACATTGGTATCTTCAATTTAGTTTTTCTCCTGATATATTGTTGCTAGTATTTTTTGAACGGCCCATAACAATAGAACCTGGAAATGTTAATAAATACCTTGTTAATTACTTATTAGATAAGCAGTGTGTTCATATTATGATTCTTCCATTAAAAGGTAATGTGATTTTAAATGCCGAGGGCGTGTAAATTTCCACTTCATCAGTTACTTGTTATAAATTGTTCGCTGAAGGTGTTATTACTTCTATTTTTCAATTTAGAGTAAAAAGAAAAGGATTCATTGACAATCATTTTCACTTTGTTTGGCTGAAAACTACCTAATTTTTTTAAAAACGGAACATAGTGTTTTTATGATTGAATACACAATAAAAAAACAGAAAGTACTATTTAAATCTTTCAGTTTTATTTTTTTTTACTGCGTTTACGTAGGCCTATTTTGTCAGTGTGCAACAAAACTGGATAATTTAAACTTGAGGGTTATTGTTTAAAACAATAGTCCTGCAAAATTAACGTTAAAAACCAGTTTTTATTTCAATTGAAAGAAAAACAAGATTGAAGATATCAATTGTTTAATTCGTATAATCCGGTTTTACCAATTGTTGCAATTACTGTAGCGTGTATCTCAAGGCAGTGACGAAGAAATACCGAAATAAAGACTACAATGCGCGATGCCGTGCGGTCCATCCAATGAATAAAGAATACCAGGAAGGAGTATACCAGAGAGAGTGCGACGGAAGTCGGCCATTTGCAAAAGCCACTTATGAGTCATTTTTGTTGTGGCTGTTGCAGTGACATAAAGAATGGTTAGTTGTTGTGCTTGTGGTTGCTCCAAAACAGAAAAAAATAAAACTTTGGGAATTACATTTCATGTGTAAGTGTTGATACCAATATTATTTTTGTATAGTACATGTAAATTTACAAATTTTTCATCGGAATGTAGTTTGAGGTTAGTTAAACAAAAGTCATAGGCGAAGTAGACACATGGGGGTTTAGATTGTTTTCGTGTAAAATTCTTTATAATTGTATCCTTCTACAACTGTAAGGTAGGTACGCCACTGGAACAGGAAACTACTGTCCGCCATTTGCAAAAGCCATCGCGGTCGCACGTATATTGTTGATATTCTCCTTCCTGGTATTCTTTATTCATTGGGTCCATCTACACGATTCCCCGCCGCAAAACTTACTTTTCAATGTTGCCATTTTATATAGTGTATGGTTGGTTGCCTAAGTGGCAGTAAGCTTCATTTATCCATTATTAATGTCGGTGATCGTACATATTTGATAACACCTCAACAGACCAAATAATCATTCATGCACGACATTACGTCCATTTCTTATCAAAATGGCGTTAATTAAAGTCATATCTTAAAGTTGTCAATGGATGCCATTTTGTCACTACTATCATTGAATAATAAATCTGATATTATTCAATGCTACTATTGAATAGCTAGGTACTTTGGCTTTCATAAAATGAAAAAATCGAGAACTCTATTTGGGGAACGTGTTGGAAAATACCGATTAACTTTTTTTAACAAATAATTGGTCTCATTAATGATTGATTTCATGTGGTGAAATCTTGAAATTTTTAAGACTACTCGTCCCGCCGCGAATCACCAATATATTATACCTACATTAAAATGTATATCGTGGTGAGTGGTGACATACCCCATAGTTAAGCAACACACCTGGCATCTGAAAGCATAGCACTATGGTAAAAATACGAAACGCTGTGTAATCTTGATTAGTCCTAGCCTTCGACCGTGCTGCGCAGATGTCGAAGAACAGGGATTTTCGCGACAAGGCTGTAACAGAAAGTTTGCGTACGGTAGTATAGTTCCGATGGCTTCGAGTGTAAACCTTAGAGCACATAGTACTATATGGTACTTCATTATATAGTACTATATGGTCTAAGGTATGTAGTGTACTTAACCCCCGGTTCTACACTAACTTCACACTATAAGAACACGGAAATAAAGTCAACCCGGCAACGTTTAAAAATGGAATGACTATTCCCTCCAAAACTAAACAAAATGCCGCTTAAATTTGAAAAGTGACACATGATCAATAACCATCTAAGGCAGGACCCCCTTACGTTAGTTGTAGACAACGCTTTGACCTGAAGCACAGTATGAAAGGAACGTAAAATAAAACACTCAAATTGTGAAAAGTTTGTTTAATAAATGATCGTAATTATTATTGATTGTAAAAGTTCGGAAATTTAAGTCAAAATAAATTACATTGCAAAAATAAACTTTGATAATGGTACTTAGTTCACCGAATCAAAATAGAAATAGGTTGGCAAAAAAAAGAACTTACCCATAAAAAAACCAGCCGTCAAATTAATATCAAATTGTGATGATGTGAATGCGTAACAAAAAACAAGATAGGTAGGTATGTGGAAATTATTGAATCGCCACTCATTTATCACACATAGATTCTAAACTGAAGAGCTTTGATTAGCGTAATCCCGCTCATGCAAGATAGATCGCCCGCCCCTGGTTTCGGGGTTTCGAGCCTACAATTGAATGTCAAAGACAATCACGGAATTATTTGTCGTAGCTCAATTTTGACTATAGTTTTTACCACCCCCGTGACTGCTTCATTTATATGTTACATAATTTGCAGATCGCATCGACTGAACAAGTCCTCATATGCCGACTTGACAAACGCAGGCATGACCGAGCGCCGGCTTGACAAGCACCGGTATGACCGAGTGCCGGCTTGACAAGCGCCGGTATAACCGAGTGCCGGCTTGACAAGCGCCGGCGTGACCGAGCGCCGGCTTGGCATGTCGCCGGCATGGCCGAGCGCCGGCTTGGCATGTCGCCGGCTTGGTGCGACGCCGGTTCGTGCATTGCCGGTTTGGCAGTTGCCGGTTTGTAATCGCCGGTCTGGAATGTTCCGGTTTATTCCGTGGAGGAATTACCTCATACAGGTCCGATTCTTCGCCGTTTCATGTTTCCTCATCTCGGACTGTAGCTCTTGTGCCTTGACAATACGAGAGGGGGGGGGGGGGGCAAAACAACTTTTCTTCGGTTTAGGATGTGGTTCTGTCTGTGATAATAGAGTTAAAACACGAATACTGCTTGCGTTTTCATTGGTACATTTTCTATTTCAATTAATGGAAGCCGATGTTGGAGAACAGCGATGCCATTTGGATGTTTTTTTTTATATATGCAACTCGTGTTATGTTATAAATGGTGAGTGATAAATCATAAATACTGTTATACATTAATCTATTTCAAGACTGTTATAAATTTATTGTTAGTTAATTGTCAAAAATCACGTAATTTGTAACAATATAATGACCATCCTGTAGGTATGTATATCTTTGAAAACGGTTATCTCAACAAATGAATACCTAAAGTTTATCAAAACGAATAAATGCAGTCGATGACATTGGTGCTCAAGCTGTGAGAGCGTGCACGCAGATCGAATTCATAAATTTTATAAATTCCCCTTTAGGGGATTTGTTTAATTAGTAGTGTCACTTCATAAACTAATCAGTTTTACGTCCGCTACATTTATTTGGAAATTATAGCAGCCGTCATTACCAATTGTAGGTAATTGAAAATTACTTTATAAGTGCATTATTGGCACATAATATTGTCAGGCAGTCCACATACGGGCTTCTTGATTCACGGAGTCAGAGACCGTCATTAAAGCTCCAAATAGCTTGGGAACCATAATAAACCCAAATTCCGAGTGACCGACACGTTTCAAGATCAGGGGAGTCCTCGTCAACCAAAGATAAGTCTACCTACCAGTACCAGCCTCATAGTCAGTCATCGACGCACCTTCATATATCGCTTCTGTTCAATACTGCTGTTTTTCGATACCTATTGTAATTACTGTATTGTATACCGATACCGACCGGTAATATTTGTATCATAATTAAACTCAGATCATTGAGGTGGCCGGTTGGAAGCGCTTCGAATTATTCCTCCTGGCGCGGATTTAGAGGGGGGGGGGGGCCCCCCCCCCAGACACTTCTGGACAGTGTTACCACATTGGGAGATGGGCTACGTTTTATGCCATTTTGCGATAAAAAATTCAGTTCTGCGACATGCGACATTTTAGACTACTAAGTAAATGTCAAATCCCGTCCAAAACAGGATTTTTCAATAAAGATTTATGATGCTTGCTTGGTATTTGCGGTACCGACCTGTTCATATACTCTTTGCTAATACCTAGATACATTTTCTTGAAATTTCTAAATCCGTGTATTTTATGGCAGGTAGGTAGGTAGGTACTAAGGTAAAGGATTAGCCTGTTAGTATTAGAAGAAAGAAAGGATGACACACTGCTTTGATCTCCAAGCACAGAAACCGAAGTGCAATATAATTTACAACTGTTGTGAATTCCTAAAAGGATTTGGGCGGTTATTATCATTTTCAAGGAAGGACGTTTTCACAAATGTTTAGGTACGTTTTGCGAATTTTGCATAAGACGCGGCGTAAACGTTCATTTAATTTTCGAATGTAGTAGTGTTTGAGGAAGTGTCAGAACTAAAATGATCTGTGAAGATGGCAACGTCTAATCAGCCTATAGGACGGGCTAAAAAGCGCCAACATAATTTGTTTAAGGTTCCTCACCTTTGCAACAGACAAACCACAAGGAATACATATTCTGATTTTAAGAATTTGTCACCTAGTGACTATTGGAAGAGAGTTATCTATATTCCAATTCTTGACAATTTAATAGTTGACCTAAAATCTCGTTTTGGAAAAAAAAATTTGTCAAATTTAAGCTTAAATCGAGGCTTAAATATATTAATAGGTACTCTATGCTCTTCAGGCCGTCACCGATGATAACGTTTTAACAATAGGTAAATGAGTACGGAGATCTGCTAAATAACCCGTCGTTAGCACAACTTCTGGGTGAAGTGCAGCTTTATAAACAGAGTTTTTGCACCATGGACATCGAGGGGTGAACCACTGGTGAAGTATGGTGTACAAGTGTCATGAAGTCCGTGAAGTTCATATGAAGTTTTGGTGAAGTCCATGAAATATTGTGAAGTTCGTGAAGTATTGTTGAAGTGTGTGAAGTCGGTGAAGTAGTGATGAAGTCCGTGAAGTACTGATGAAGTCCATGAAGTATTGGTGAAGTTAGTGAAGTTTAAGCGAAAAATGGATGAGGTTGTGGCGAAGTTTATAATCAAATCCCTTAACAAAAATTGTACGGTAGTTCAATTCACGGTTGTAACCACTAAAATTCGAGGTAAAATTAGATAAATTTCTGCGAAATAAAACTGAAAGTATAGATTAAAAAATCTATGCTGAAAGGTAAGTTTTTTATCCGCAAAAGTATGGCATTTATTTATGAAAGACTAACCATGCCCATTTCTACAAAACAAAAGGACAGTTACACAGGCGACAGACGCCCTGATGAGACAGCGACTCATAGACGTACTGATAGTCCTTGCGTCGTATTTATGTGTAGGTACAAAGATCGTAAATTGTTTCCTTTTAAAAATTTAATAAATCCTTTCCTTTATTACCATCAGGTTCAGGTAGCTAAATAACACTTTTATTAGGTATATTAAAATAAAATCGACAGACGGAAAATTTGTCACGTGGATAGCGGCTTTTGTTTTCCTTAAAATTTCAGCACCCTCCACAACTTAGTACATCAGCCCCTTGCAAATCAAGTTTCTGGCCACGCCATTGAGTTATTTACGACTATAATGTCAATCCCGAGGTCAATACTATCCCACAAACAACACCATTAGCATAATTCTTGAAAATAATCCCCTAAAAATGCAACCTGTTGTAAAAGGATTAAGAGTTGCTTATTGGGTTCAGCCTGGTTATATGTTACAATACCTTTTACAAGACCTAAGCAATATTTTCCCGCTTATTTTGTTTGTTTGTTGAAATGAAATTTTTAAAAGAAGAATTGGACACCTTTATATGGTATAGAGCCAGATATCCAATCTGTTAATAAAAGATATATTTTAACAGGACCCATTACATTAATAGGAAGTGAACCATTTAGTATAACTGTATATATGTAGGTATATCAGAAATTTGAAGCTTATAAAATCTTAAGTATAAATGGTGCACAACTCCTGTGCAGATAAAGATAAAGGGCCATTTTTTAAACCGAAATAGCTTAGTAAATGGTTGGGTTAGAAGGTAGTAGCATGTTATCGATATTTACTTTCTTAGTAGATGATTGATGGGAGGACATTGAAAATCCTCCGACACCCCCGATTGATTTTGCCTTTGAAAGTACTTTCCTCCGATTAACCGTTTTCGAGATAATCGCTCAATGGATATATTTCTTTAAGATGTCCCAATCGCCCTTTGTGAGTACTCTTCCAACAATCTGTTGTGGAGATATAAGGGGATATATCCAATCACGGTAAGGGATCGAAGAAGAGGACTATGGTTGGTAGAAATTAATTCCTTTCGTTGAGACCTTTAATTAGAATATCATGAAAGATAAAATACGCCCCCCCCCCGCGCCATGAACTGAACTTGAAAAAGAGTCGCGCGGTAACGTTATAGTTTGTGCAAACCAATTTATTTCGATGAGACCATGAAAGGTGGAACGGGTGTTTACCCCCGTCCCCCCTCCCCATTTTCAAAATTTTTACTGCACCACTAAAGCCATGCGCCAATTGATTGCCGTATGTAAAAGTAATGCACGTTTTACTTTTACTTTCAAAAACAGCATCTCAGGAAATAATTGATGGAGGCCACCTCCCTTAAGACAGCGAAATTTGATTGCCGTGTGCCACACCTTCAAGGTATAGGCTACATATTGCAAAAAATTCCAGGACTCTAGGACCATTCCCCTAAAAGTAGTTCAAAACCGCAGAAGTGGGTCCGACGGGCGGGCAAAACTCAAACAAAAGCCCATTTTTTTAAAAATTGCTTTAAAAAATTGATTCATTTCAATTTCGCCTATGTACTTACCTCTATGTATAAACAAAGTATGTTTTTATTTTACTTTATATTACCGTTTCGTTTTTGTTATGCCTCTATTATCATTTATATCAATACATTCTACATCTTTTACTGCTTTGAGTGCTTTACAAGAACTCTAGAAAAAAGGATGGGATTTTGTCCATTGCAAAATATCAGTGAAATTCATAAAGTATCAGTGAAGTCCGTGAAGTTTTTGGTGGAATACATGAAGTGTCGGTGAAGTCCGTGAAGTTCGGTGAAGTATTGATGAAGTCCATGATGTATTGGTGAAGTCCGTGAAGTATTGATGAAGTCCGCGAAGTACTGATGAAGTCCATGAAGTATTAGTGAAATACGTGAAGTATGAAGTTTGGTGTACACGATTTTGCCTAGCGATTTACCCCTCGATGGACATTGTCTACGCTAATGCATTACAAGCTCTTCAAAATTGTGACGAAATGTATTATCCTACCATTAAGAAACTTTTACAAATTATGTGCACTTTTACAATTTCTGTTGCAACCACTGAAAGGAGTTTCTCAAGCCTTAGATTGTTAAAAAGTTATTTGAGATCCAAAATTGTATGCGCCCCTCCCTAGACCAAATGTCCAAATCCTAAATCCGCTACTGTGTTCCTCCTCAATTACTTGCGTCAAAAGTGGTTTATTACTGCTGCCAAGAGATTGCCATACTCTGGCCGCCACCCTCTAAATCGAATCCCAATCCAAGTTAGCAGTAGTGCTGATTTCACTTTAACACATTTTGTGCAAATTTTTAAAAGATGCAGATGCAAAGCACATTCTTTGAAAGTATCTCGTCGCATGAGAAATTTTAGGGTCACACATAAACATTCTCTTTAAAATTTGTGTAGGTGGGACGGTTTTTCAGCACAACGTTGAAAATTTGCTTCTGACCTTAACAGTGACAAATGGAAAAAGTTTTTTTAAGGCTCACTGAAAAAGGTCGTTAAATAATTGAACGTTGCAAACGAATTAACCCAGCAAATTTGTAAAAATATTGATTTTACTGCAAATATTTCTAAGAGCACCACAAATCTGTCGATAATGTTTTCCTAAGACGTTACCCCTCGCGTTACCCCAAAGGAAGGTGCGCGTATACATTTTTCTGGTATGCCATATTTTTCTAAAACAGACATCGGACATCTTCTAAATCGGTTAGGTAATATTTCACTTACTTATTAGAACATTATATACGACCGCCACTTGATTTCCGTTAATGTATAGTCTATCTTCGGTTTGACATATAGTCTTATAGACTTTTATGCATTTGTTGTCGATAACTTCACAATCACGTGCCAAGTCATCTACATTTATGCGATATTTTTCCAGATACATCACTATCGTTACCTTTTTACAAGTACATAGAAATCCTACCCAAATTTTAATGCGCTTCAATTCTCCCTTACACACGGTCGGAATACCACGAATGGTTAGCCTATAGCACTTGGTCATTTGCTTTAAGACCTCAGTTTTAATTGCTTCGAGCTCAACAAACTGCCCAACATCTTTGGATAGTAAAAGTCTTAAATATGTATCCACACGAACCAACCTAAAGAAGTGGTTTAAATCTCCAAATTGTAGTAGATATTTAACTTACGCCGAAGCACCGTCTTTGTTTTGGAGGCAATAATATTTAACATATCCATTTACGTAATTTTGCACTTCAGAGGCTAATATTACGCTACCTGGGCTGTTTAACTTTCATTACGGTGTATCACAGGAGAAAATACTAACATAAATCCGAAAGGTTGGAAGATTGGAAGAACCGGTGTGGTTACCGTGTAACAATTTTCTACATTCATCAATGGGGCATCGTGAATTATTAGTACATTAGGAACTTCGTCTGGATCATAAACAAAGCTTTTTACAATGCGGTGAGCGTAGTTAATTTTGGCAATACCACCATCGTCTCCTAACGAGACAACTCCTTCCTTCAATCATTACGACCTCAGAATGGAATAAGTGTGATTTGAGACTAACCTTAGAAAGCTGTTCAATAAAATTGTAAAAGTTTCCATGAGAACTTTTAGTAATATCCAAGATGGGAGATGCACGTACAATGTACGTTTCACAAAAACTGTTCACTGAGATAGGCAACTGCAAGGACTTCGAGTACTTAATTGTGGTAAAAAAACAGCGTAACAATAACTTATCCATGGCAGCTTTTTGCAAAATCTCATTCGCGATGAAAACGCTGTTGTCCGTGCCGACACATTTTTCGGTGCCGACACATCCTGATGAAATGCGTGATTTGATAGAAACTTGTCGTTCCTTTGGTAAACTAAGGTTACTAATACTTTTCATCGATTCTTTCATCCACTCTGGATATCCCATCTCTGGTAGAGGTAATAGCTGAGCATTATTAATTGTGCACAATTGATCATTGAAGTAATGGTAAATATAAACACATTTGCCTCTATGTTTACGTTTACATAATGTGATTGAGCTTTCGATGGTAACTCCAACCGCAACTGCCGCTTTGTTTGTTGTTTGGTTAACACAGACTGGTGTGTTACGTTCAAAGTCTGGTACCGTCGGATAGTAGTGGGAAAATTTTGGATAGGCAACACCATGGAGCATTAAAAGTGCGCCGTCGTGCAATTTCTCCACAACAGAAAAGTAGGTAGTAAACGCAAGTAGGCATTCGGGGTATTCCCACAAGAAATACACGGTAGGAAACATTTGACCATACACAAAGATCATCGGTTGCTTATTAACAACCAAAACATCCACATATATCGAGGAGGAGTTTTTAATTCTTATCACTTCCACGTAATCGCTTTTGCAAAGAAACTGATTTGTAAATCTGTAGTCCGTTATTAGAGGATACAAGGTAATTAACTGATTTTTATACCATTCCCTGAAATGGAGGCTGAGTTGAAAATTATCGCAATTATTGAATTTACTTTTCTGATTCCTTTAGGCGAGTAATGCGTAGAATCTGAAATGGTTTTGTGAACATGACCAGTGACCAATGTTACAAATTATAGAACTTATTGTAACATGACATGTGACAGGTGCCAAGCTGATTTCTTTGTCGCGCAGTTTTCATCAAAGGCCATACAGACTACAGTATACATAGGCTCCTATTAGACCCATGCTTTCAATACACAATGGGGGGGGGGGGGGGCAGTAGTTGTGGATAGGTGTATCTCAAGGTAAACTAAAGTAATGTAAACACCACTCGCTCGGATTGCGAAAAGAGCAGCTTCTATTAGTCCGGGAGCCAGCTGACATTTGAGGGTCGTTATAGTAAGAAAGCTGGAAATTTTTTTTGGCGTCTATTTAGATGCACTGATTAACGAAATAAACGTCAGCTGGCTAGATAGCGGTGGGGGTAGCCGTAGCAGCCACCCACGCATGTATAATAAAAATAAACTTAAAATCATAGTAAGAAAGATGAATCTTTGTAGGCTCGTTTATTAGCCTATGTATAAATGAAAAAAAATAGTCAGCTGACTGCACCGCGGTGGATTATACGTCAGCTGATTGGATAAACATGTAAAAAAAAACGTTAGATAAAATTAAAGTAAGAAAGCTGAATTTTGGTGAAATAATAGTTTACTACATCAGTTTTGAGAAAAAAATACTCCGCTGCAATTTCCATGGTGGGAAAGTCATCAGCTGGTTCACGAAAGATGATATGCGCCCGTATTTTGTGGCCGTCAGCTGATGGCTTTTCCACCGCGGAAACTCCAGCGGACTATTTTTTTTATAAAAGTGATATAGTAAACTATTGTTGTAACAAATTATAACTTTGTTAATTTGATACTTTCTTTTTTAGAGCGAGTTGGATGCTGCATTTATGAAAATTAGCTTGATATCGATTGAAATTTCTTTTTTAGCGCATTTTTGCAAAAAATTTTTTTTGTAAAAAGTAGCTTTTAATCTCACTTTGGCTGGCTGGCTGGCTGGCTGGCTGGCAGTAAATGCGCGCCCGTAGAAAAACGCTTGTAAAAAGACAAGGAGTGTGCATGTAACTATCGGGGCCGTGTAATTAAGAACGTTAGGGATGGGGCTACAAGATTTGGAGTCGACGACATCTGGACGCCATCCCCGAGCGTATTATACTAACCTGGAGATTTTTCAGTTTTTATCTATCTTCTTCTACAGTTTTTCTCTGATTGTTTTCAAATTGGCGTCGTCGGGAAGATCTTGTCAACGCGCACAACTCCTGCGTGGCGGAATTTTGTTTTTTTTTCCTAGGGGCGAAATAAACCACCTTTTGCGCGGCGCGCTTCGAGGGGTAGTCGACTTTGGGCGCCCAAAAGTTTCTTACAGCGCGAATCGCGGTCTCTCTTTCTCGTGTCACTAATAGAAGGTCGAGCTATGTGAGTACCCAAAAGTTGAATACGATTTTATGCCGGGATTTTAGCGAAATCTACCAAAATGTGAATTACGAATGAACGGGACGTCGGAACTGTGTATCGACAAAGGGAATGTGGTAACCCCCGACGAGATCTTACTGATGGTGGAGTCGAAACTTCAAATCCGAATTGTTGCGGGTGATCAGAAGTGGGTGTCGACAAAGGGAATATGGTAACCCCCAAAGGATTTTAATGATGGTGGAGTCAAAACTTCAAACGCGAATTGCGAGTGCACGGTAAGTGAGAAAATGGTACCGACAAAGTGAACGTCGGTAATTATTTAATGTATTTATATTGAGTTGATTTTTTTTGGGGACGTTTTTTTATGCGTTTTAAAATAAATTTACAAAAAATATAAACAGATAATTTACATTTATACATCTTCGTCTTCTTCATCATCTTCAAAACCGTTGGAACTGTTGTGCTATTATATAATGTCACAGAATTTCTGAGTATTCATACAAATAAAAAAAAGTAAATAATAAAAAGTGTTCAATCGATAATTGCCGAATCGAGCTAATTTTCATAAATGCAGCACGAAACTCGCTCTAAAAAAGCAAGAATCAAATTAACAAAGTTGTAATTTGTTACAACAATAGTTTACTGTATCAGTTTTATAAAAAAAATAGTCCGCTGGAGTTTCCGCGGTGGAAAAGTCATCAGCTGACGGCCACAAAATACGGGCGCATATCATCTTTCGTGAACCAGCTGATGACTTTCCCACCATGGAAATTGCAGCGGAGTATTTTTTTCTCAAAACTGATGTAGTAAACTATTATTTCACCAAAATTCAGCTTTCTTACTTTAATTTTATCTAACGTTTTTTTTACATGTTTATCCAATCAGCTGACGTATAATCCACCGCGGCGCAGTCAGCTGACTATTTTTTTTCATTTATACATAGGCTAATAAACGATCCTACAAAGATTCATCTTTCTTACTATGATTTTAAGTTTATTTTTATTATACATGCGTGGGTGGCTGCTGCGGCTACCCCCACCACAAATGCGCCAGCTGATGTTTATTTTATTAATCAGCACATCTAAATAGTCGACAGAAAAAATTTCCAGCTTTCTTCCAATTGGTCGCCAAAACTGCCAACTGGCTCCCGGACTATATAGCAACCGAGTGATTCAGAGTTCCGTAACGGTAAGCAGTAAGACAGAGGTGCCCAAACCTTTGTATCGTTTGATTTACTCTGCACAAGTAAGATCCTTCGCGATCTACCAGCTACTTCTACTATGAAAAAAGGTTTTTGTTGTTAGGATGGATGATGTGTAATTGAGTTTTCATTTTACTTTAGTCCGTCATATTTCTGATGTTGGTGGGCACTTATTTCTGATTGTGATGGAAAGTTGCATATTTTTTATGTACACTCAAAGAATGTCTCTTCAGATTACCTACCTTTTTACCACCTGCACATTAGTAAAGGGATATAGTGCATTGGGGTTAAAAATGCCCCCTTCCCCACTGTTTTGATGGAAATACTCGCTTTGAAGCACCAGAAATGCGAATCAAACAAAATCTGGAAGAGGAAGAGGCGTATGCGCGGTTCTGCCCTTTTATATCTAAGAATAAGTGTACTAAATTTGGTCGCAATCGGTTCAGCCGTTGAGCCGGAAATGAGAGTACAGACGGACCGACACAGACAGACCAACATTATCGAGATTTTGTTTGATTCGGGTTCCTGGTGCCCCAAATCGTGTGTTTCCGTCAAAAAAGTGGGGGGTCACTTTTTACCCCAATGCAATAGGTACTTACTAACGTGTGGGTGGTACAAAAAGTCTTCTTCCTACTCTTTATCAAAATGGTACCTAGGGTTTTGGTCGCTTATAGGCGCACTCGTTTTCAGTTAAGCGTAAGCTGATGAGATGATCGACTCGGAAGATCGCCGCGATCGACCGGTACATCGGGATCGACGGTTTGGCCAGCTCTGCAGTAAGAGGTAACGATATGAAATAAGAAAAATAAACATTCAAATTATACTGGTGACTTTCAGAGTTTTTCCGTAAGATGCAAGACGTAAGTAGTAAGAGGTAAGAAATATTTCCTACCTTATCTCTTACGGAATCATGTTTTGTTTATTAAGATGAGAAGGTATTCGAACGTTAAACATTTGTGTTGAAGGTGTATTAACACTAGAAGCGCTATGATTATGATGTCACTATATCCATATTCGTTTACCTACGTCTATGAAAAGCAAAATAACTTTTGGTGCTACAATCTCAAACGTCAGTTTGACAACATATGACGCAAACGGTCTTCCCTTAAGAGGCTTCTATACCAGCGCAAAAACCCTATGTAAAAGTGTTTCGCGCCGTGTCTGTTTATTCGTAAAGAAAATGTAATAATGGTAAAAGTGAATGATTATTATGTTTATAAAGGTGTAATCTAGGATTGTATCGAATTGTATTTTAAATAGTAACTTCAAATCATACGATACAGAGCGATAAAGAATTGCTATTTTAGACAATATTCAAAGGGGTGTAGATCTTAAACAAAACAAAAAGTAGCAAAACAAATTCGATACAATCCTAGCTTTAACCTTCCTTTGGTAAAATCCATTCACAGTAACTGAAAAAAGTTTATTATGTACCAGTAAACAGACACGGCCCGGGATGCTGCAACTGTAAAATTCTAGCAAAATTTTATTAGGAAAGTGCTGCTACGTCTTGCGGAATTCAAACTTAACTTACGTGTTACCGCCCATTTGATAAAAGGAGGAGTTCATTCTTATCTTTCCAACATAATTTTAAATATACCGGAGTTCTTAGCAAAATAATTTTCTTTGAGTTTTAACATGAATCCTTTAGGATAGGAAAGTAGGCACTGTAGAAGCTTACTAACACGTACAACAATGGAAGTACTCCTATCTCTGTGAATAGACGCTATAATGCAACAAAATATTATCCCCGATTTTCCGTCTGTCTGTCCGTTCATTTGTCTGTCTACGCACAGTAAAGCCTTGCTCTTAGATCACCTATCGATTGCAGGTTGTCGCTGATGTACCGTTGCTTAAGCTGCTTTTACTTGTGCGAAGTACCAACAACCATTTGTGAAACTAAAGTTTTGGGTGCTACCTCACTCAAATATTGCCATTTCCGAAGTGACAGGTTGCATAATCATTTTACTTGCGAATCGGTCGAGTGGCAGTGGTAAAAAATCTACTCAATTGAAAACAAATGGACTAAAATGAAATTAAAAAAAGAAAATTTGGGATGTAAGAAAAGATTTTCTTCAGTCACAGAGATTGTACATAGATACATTTAAATTTAAACCATTTCCTAAATTAAGTTGGCTCACACAATTTGAAAATTAAAACATTAAAAAATCTAAGTGCAATATCTACCTAAATTTCTTTAAAACAGTAGTTCTGATCAAATATGTATTTAGCTTTTGAAATTTCTCGTCTCCCCATTGTTGCCCAAGGTAAAAACCCCTTTAATTCTTATAGTAGGACTTAGTGTTTTATTTTAGGATGTTTTGTATCTATATAGTACCAATTCCTCTCTTCTTCCTTTTGGGGGTTTTCGATTGATGTTCAAATGTTCACAAATTATTGCAATTCATACATTGCTTTGCAAAAAAGTAAGTTATGTAATTTTTTTCAGTCTTCTTCCTGATTACATTTATATGTATCA